TGGTTATGAAAGGCCATTTAAAGGAAATGTATAAAGAATTCTTTGCAAAATTCTGTCAGAGAAGTGCTTCCAATAATGAATTGTAGCTGAGATTCCATTAGAAATGGAATTAATTGTCTCTCACTTGGTTAATGATAGAATTTAGTTTGTGACGTGAACTGAAATACGATGATTTAAAAAAAAAATCCCTAAAAGCTGTTGACTTCCCAAATGAAAAGTGTGCATGTTAACACCAATGAGAAATCTGTGAGGCTGCTTTACAGGTTTGTCATGTCCCCTATAGACAGTGCAAACATGCTGTGTGGTAGGGATGAACAGATATATCCGTTAGACAGATGTGATCTCTGTGTTCATTAGATCTCAATAAGGCAAATAGATTGTGTTTGGTGAGTGAGTAAGCATATGCTAATTTGCTCAGTCATATCTAATTTTCCCCATTCCTTAATCTCATGCTATGAATAAGTTTGTGGGGGAATTCTAGCACTTTTACCTGAGTCTCTAATAAAATAGCCAAGTCTTACATGCAGATAAAATTTATGGATGTGGTTCTGTTTTGGTACATGTTCATAGGTTCAACAATATGAAGAGTCTATTGAGTAAAAAAAGGTTTCTTGTTTACATACCCCCCAAAAATTCTTTATATAGTGTATTCCATATATGCAGTTATCAGAATAAGATTACTTCTTTCTTGTCAACCTGAAGATATGTACTAGTCTCAGATCTTATCTTCATGTATATGGTAAACAAATTATTCACCACTAATAGATCAAGATGCATTTCATACTTAAAGACATGACTGTGTTCTTTTGCTTTGACTCTTAAATCCCGGAAGGCTGTAAGAAAATATAAATACACCTGAGGCAGATCAGTGCCTGGAAAGAAACCTTTTTAAATGGAAAAAATAGGGATTGCTCACTAGGGAAATGCTTAGGGCTTTCTAGAAACATACAGGAAAAGCTTCATCTGCTGTCTCTCATATCATGTAAAAACGAGATGGATGGAATTTCTATTCAGAAACTTCGGGTTCTGTGGCATGTGTCTAGAAATAAGTTCAACCAAGGATGATGTGGCTGTAGAAGAGTCTGTGCTGCTGGAAATAGGTGTGTCAAGTGTGGCAGGCACTTGTGTGTGATACGGTCCTACAGATTCCAAAGAGGTGCACTCTTGGATTAGCCAGTTACTACTTTTCAGTGGCTTGAAAAAAGTTAAGGTCTTCATATATATAAGAACTACTTGTGTGCATGTAACCTAAGGTTTTGATTGAACTGATAGTTTTAACAGTAAAACTTACTTTATGGACTCTTAAAAATATTCTTTGTTCTCACTGAAGTTCCTTCGTAAACAGAATAAAAGGTAACTTAATTTGTGTATTTTTTTTTTAATACAAGGAAAGATGCCATAATACTGGAATCAGATGATTAATAATAGATCATACAGATATAACTGTTGACATATTACAAAAGGTTCAAGTCCAGATAAACTGCGGATTTCCTTTCTTGCTATTTTTTGTGATTAAAAAATACGTAAGCTGCATTGAAAAAAGTATTCCAATTTGAATGTCTCTTGCCTCCACCTGACAGGAGATCTTGAAAGCATTGAATTTACCATCTTGCATCACAGATGGAAAACTAGACATTTGATTTTATTATTTTTTTGTATCACTGGTGTTTCTTTAACATCTGTTAACTGCTTGGATTCTTGTACAATGCTGTTACTTGTGATAGGGTTTTTCCATTATTTTTATTTTTGGGATGGCTCGGAATTGTGAGTAAAAGCAAGTAACGCTGCCTTTTAGTCTTTTTCAGCTTTTCTGTGAAGAACTTGATTTTTAGTTGCACATTGCTGAAGTTGAAAATTTAATTTAAAGTTATATATTAGCCACCTTCAGCCTTTATGTGGAAAATTTTAGCAAGTATATTCATTTTTGTATAAGAAGTGAAACTTGATGGTATGTTTACTCTCTACTACAGCAAAAACTAGCTGTTTTTTTAGAATTCTTGTGTCCCTTTCAGAAGGGATCTGAGGCCGGATGGTCTTCATTCAGTATGTCTTCTGTTACTCATGTTTAAATTTATTCTATTTTGGCAAAGTTAGCCTTTAAATTAGGTCTAAAAGTCCATATTGAGCATGGATAGACTTTTGCAGTTAAAAGTAACAGAGATGCTGTGTTGGATATATTTTACCACAAGCTGGAATGAGCAGAGCTTTATTTCCAGTTTCAGTAAGCAGATGCTTCAGACCAGGGCTAGGATCAAGAACTTAGGGCACAGGAAGGTGTTTTTAGTCCCACTCTGACTTTCATAATCTCAGTAGAATTGGGAACTCTTCCACTTTGTTTACACCCTTTGTAAACCTTGTCTACAAAATGTAAAAAGTGCATGAAAATAAGGAAGTGTGGTGGAATTTAGGAATTTGTGTTGAGTTCTGGGGAGAAGGGACCTTTTTCAGTGTCAGGATGTGGTGTGAGACTGAGAACTGTGGTGCTTAAGTCTTAGTTGATAGTAAGTAAAATGATTTGGGGCAGGATGAGGTGAAGTAGACATATAGGATACAAAGGTTGTCCCATACTTGCTGTATCTATTAGGATATGTTAACTGGAGAAGGATTTGTCTGATTCATTTGTCTTAGCATCGTTACCCTGATCTCGGAGTGAATTGTGATTGTGTACTGATAGAAAGAAGCTCATGTCTGTAGGATTTTTGCTTCATTCCTTCCAGAATTTAGAATGACATCTACTGATGAAAGCTGGGGAAAGGTCCTGTAGCTGTGTTCTGGCCACGCTGGTTCTACAGTTCCTATACAGTACAATTAAATCACTTCAATGTAACTTTCACAAGCAAACTATGTGGGTTTTTTTTCTTTGTAATGACCATCAGGGATATATAAATTTAACTGTGCTAAAAACCCCTGTAGTCTTAATTCCTAATCTCCTGGCCTGAGTTTTCCATTGCATAGGTGAAAAAAATAATACTGCATCTCTGGCATGCTGTAAAACTAAATAAATGCAGTCAAATATACTATGAAGGTTACTATAGAAAAGTACCATTTAAAAATAGAATCATATTTCCCATCAGGGATTTTGACTAATGAGCAATGGGATAAGAAGTGTAGACTCACAAAGAGCAGAGGAAAAAAAACAACCCATAGAATGATGAGTGATCTTTGTCAGCATTATTAACTTGCATGAAGCTAGTGAAAAAACTAATTTGTGTATTCTGAGGCTAAACCACAGTAAAATCTGCCCATGACAAACAGCTGGATTAAGGTTGAATGAAAACCGTTGCTTCTGGTACTTCCAAATTTGGCGTAGTTGCTTTTCAGATCTAGAGCTAATTTTCCTGTGTAAAATGTAAACAAATAACATAGTACTTAAACTTACTTGGAGGGAATTATTTTATTTACCTTATTACTACTGAGAAATAAAAGAGAAGGAGGCTTACTAAGTGTGCAAAGCTTATTACCTGTCTAAATCTTACCTTACTGCAGTGACCTCAACTTTTTCTGTATTCTAGAAAGTCAGTTTTCTAAAACAGATTTAGAAGCTTTGAAGTGTCAATCTGAAATACTGAAAAATACTCAAAATAGATAAAACAGAAAATTATACACAAAAAGACAACAAAGCTAAGTCAAAAGTGTTTTAAAAGAAGCACTGTCTTGCAAAGCTGGCTTTCATTCTGCTCAAAACTGTTTTTGCTGTATTCTAGCAGAACACATGTGGTAAAGGAATGATGAACAAGCAGAGGAAAATTGAGTATGTCTAGTAATTCTTAATATCCTATGAAAATATTGTCAGGTCTGCTAACACACACTAATTTTTCCTGTGTAGAGCCACATTAAATATTAATTTATTCAGTGTATAGAAAAGGGCCCAGAGATGGTAGGAGCTTGTTGCAACTTTACTGCAGATAGAACAATCCCAACACTCAGTTTAGGAGTTTGTCATCAAGAGTGATTTAGTTGTGTCCTTAAGTGTAGCGCATTAATTATTTTGGAAACCTACAAGCCATTTGTCTGCATCCAATAATGTGATTCACTGTCCTTGCATCAGAGCCTAGTGCATAAATTTATGAAATTTAGAGGACAGAATAAAGATGGTAGGATCTTGGATTATTTTTTAGCTCGTAATTCCAGAAGTAGTCCTCCACAGTCTTCTGTAGCAGACACAAAGTAACACTGTGGGGGTTGAGAGAAGGTGCATAGATTTAAAATAATGAGAATATGTCTATGTTGAGGAAACATTAATGGTCCTCAGAGAATGTCTCTTCCATTCAGGGGTAGAACTACTATACTTCCTCAGTTCTTTCACCTATCCATGATGCTGTTTAGAGAAGTAATGACATTTCAAAATTGCTCAGATCAAAAATTAATTCTTATTCTCAGTCATGGAGCTAGGTATACAGTAAGCCTGCATGTGTTGTTCACACACTCAACTTATAGTGCTGTAACAATTCAGTTCAAAGAAAGTAGAAAAATTTCCACAGAAAAAATATGTTTATTTTGGTGTGCATTGCTTATGTATGATTTAGTGTAAGTTTGACACCAGATCAGTTGTCTCTTTACTGTTGCAATGCAATTTCAAAAAGGGGAAGAAACAGCCCACAGATACCAGACCCTGAAATGTCACCAGATTTGTCCTATAAAACTGGACTAGCTAGCCCAGTAAAACCATCAGTGGAGGGAGTGGGCACATGGAGTGGCAGCAGGCACCCTTGAATTAGATGTGCAGCAGGCTGAACTAGGACTCTGCATGCTGCTACAGGTGTTAAGAGTTGCAACAGTGGGCGAAAAGTGAGCTAATGTAGACTTTGCTTAAGAATCATTAACTAAATCCCTGTTTCTTTTCGAGGGAGCCTCAGCTAAAGTCACGTGACCTGATGTAAAACAAGATCATTACCTATCAGTGCAAACATATGGCAAAGTCTGCCCATGTTATTACTTATCTCAAAGAGTGCAAGGGGGCTGTGACATTTCAAGCAAAGCCTATTGGCGAGAGAGTTTCTATGTGAGCTTTCTTAAAGAAGTGCTTCCTTTTTAATCATCATGCTGCGTGGGAAAGTATAGCAAACATTTTTCTCTAATAGACCAGAAGATTTACATAATTCTTCTGCTTCGATGGAAAGAGAAGAAATGCTGATACAACATTCCATTATGGCTGTAAGCTTTACATTTACCTGTACTGTGGAAAGTTAGTTTTCTGTTTTCTGGGATGCATTTCTCAGGAAAGGATGGTTTTGACGATGACTTCAATAGCAGTGTTGCTGTCCATGAAAGGGTTCCTTCTGGAATCTTGGTGAGTTTGACAGATTGATTGCTAAATTATGGGTATGTAATTTCCTATAGCATAGGTAAAATATATAAAAATTGACTGCCTGTATTTCATAGTATGTGTAAGACTTTAATTAGGCATTCACAGACTTACTTTGTTTCCCATTTTTGTTCCATGAGTGCACTGTGCAGTACTAGGAGCAATCCTAAACGCCAATTAAAATCTTTACTTAGGAGCAAAGACATTTTTGTTTGCTTGTTTTTGCTGAGTAGACCTGATGCTACAGTGGTCCTGTTTCACATGGTTATTATCCCTCACCCCAATCTTTTCAGGGTACAAAATAGAAACTAGTAAAACACCTACTGAAGGTTTTCTCTGGTTAAGGAAAACTCCTGCCTCATAAATATATATACATGCAAATATAGGCAAGATGAAATAAATAGAGGAAAGCCATTGCTATGCATGTTTTTTGTTTTGTTTTCCTACCTAATCTCTTGAAACAAATGCAACTTCTTTACTGTTTACATCATGTGGCATTAGACTATCTCTTAATCCTCTAAATGTATCTCAAAATAAGTGGTATGTATAAATACCTACTCTCTTGTAAGAAAAGATCTACATTTAAGTAACTCTTTTTTGCAGCAGCAGCAGCAGTTTATGCCCTCTAAAGCTGTATCTCTGCTCTAGAGCAATCTGATAGTTTACCTTTGAGTAACTTGCACTCTTCTTTTTCTGTTGTTTAACTGGGCATCTGTAGTATTCATGTTCACAGGAGTGCACCTGTATAGAAGGTGTTGGCTTTAAGAATACAAAAAATGCAGTTTACCTTTACTAAAGCAGTACTCCAAATTCACAGAAAACACAAATTTGTGGACAGTCTTTTGATTATATCTTGCACTTGTATATGGATATTACTGAATAACATACAATTGTTCAAGAAAAGGTGTTGGTTTTATAGCAGCCAAAATAACATATTTGTTAATGGTACATAGATATAATTCCTATCCACAAAACCTCCTGATCAAGCTAATGTAAGCATTTCCTGGTGGTAAGTTTTGAAAATTTGGCCATTTATCATGTAGAGCAAGTTAGATACTTAATCTGAGCTGTAGTGCTGTTTAGTCATTATTTTTGAGAGCCATTCTATTCCTCATTGCTGTAACATGAGGAAATCAACCAACATATGCAGGATTAATTTTAGTTTAATTGATTTGTTTTATAGATGTGGGCACAGAATTCTGGTTTTAGTTCTTGAACTTCCAAAGTAGATATTTTCTTATTTTGTATGTATTGTTATGGTCTCTCTCTCTGTTTCACTTTTTGCCTTTTGCAGTGTAATGGCTTCTTGCCAGAAAAGAATCTTTTTTTTGATACAGGACAGAGAGATCCTTTCCTCCATTCCAATTACAGTTGCACTTAGCTTAGTAGTATTAATATATTCAACTATAAGATTTTTTCCAAACCAGGTAGTATTACACGAACATTTAAAAAATCAATCTCTGGAGCTTCAAAAGTCACAAAACCTATTTTTCTGTTGTGAGACCTTAGGTATTAATAGCGTTTTAATTTGCTATCCTGGAAGAATAAGCAGTAGTTAGCTACATTAATTTCAGCTTTTTTACAGTGTTCTGGAATTTGACTGCATCAGGTAATGTATATACTCTGGATATCAAAATAAATAAAACTTAAAAGCTAAACAGTATTGTGAAATATTGCTGCATTGCCCTTTCTTAGCTTGTCTTGTACGTTAGACTTCTGCCTTGAATTGTAGCACTTGAAATTGGCATGCTTTTTAGGTTCTTAGAGCAGGTTATGAAGGTGTACTCCTCTCTAGTTTTCTCTGCTTTCAGGACAATGGCATTTAGCAAATGTTTACTAAGCATGAAATAAAGAGCTATCAAGGAAATACTTTGTTTTACTGGTTATTCTGTGATCAGACTATATCTATTGCACTTGTGAGGATTAACACAATAACATTTTACATTGTTCCTTGCTACAGTCAGATTCAATACTGCTCACCACAAGTTTTTCAACAATATACAATAAAACTTAAAGCAAAAGAAACCTCGTCAAAATTTTAAAATCGCCTAGCTGGGGTTCTATTGACATTTGAGGTAAATTAAACATCTTGTATTTCTCAGGTTTGTAGTGACACTTTATTTCTATTTGATCATTTGCTTGCTGCAGTTTGAACCTTCTTAAATAACATGTTTATCTTTACAAAGTGAACATTATGTTAAAAGCTGAACTACAACTTGATAAGCAATAATATACATTAGTTTCTGTTCTACAGTTTTGTTTGCTTACAATGTACAAAACAATGTTTGCATTAAGACTTGGATCGTAAAAAACTTCTTTCCTTATAAACATTGTTTGTAATACTCAGTAGGTTCAAAAGTTCATAACTTTTTCACATGTAACATTATTGTGTTTATGTATGATAATAAAAGTGGCTGTGCTGTGAGCTACAGAAATGTGAGATCTATTAAAGAGATAACTTTCACTATAGGAAAGCAAGAATATATGCAAAATAGGTGAATGCTTCAGTCCTGTTTTTTTTTGTGATTTTCTGTGGTTAGACAAGGTCAGTTACCATGTATGTGAGGAAAATGAGATTATTTAGCAACTGAACTCAATTCGTAGCAGTTGGTGTGAAATTCTGATCTTTTAAACAGTTGCTACTTAAATGATAGAGAATTCCTGGCTAATGTCTACTTCTCAAGTCCTATTCACTGAAATTAAATATATGGAATGGAGACTAATAAGGACTTCTATTCCTGATTGTGCCAAACATTTAACAAATTCAGTCTCCTTGGTGACATGAAATCAACTTTTCTTTGTAAGCCAATACCATAGACTTCTGGAAGCAGCCAAGGTATAGCCATGAATGATAATGACTGTGTGTAAGAGAATTTTTCCTAAGATTGAGAATAAAGAGGACTGTCATTGTAGGGGAAGACCAATTGCTTAAACAGTAAAGCAGAGAATATTACTGCCTTTCTGTCTTGGGTTACAGTTCCATGAAATGGAGCAAATACCTCTCTCACTTGTGAAAAGGAAGATGTTCAGTTCCCTACCCTAGTATTTATTTTTTTTTCCCCCCCCTAGCTCTTTGGTGCTGCTGTTGTGCCTCATGACTCTCTGGTGTTTGTCATGTTCTTCTTTGTGAGCTAATCTAATTTACTAACCTACTGAAACAAACAACAACAACAAAATGTGAAGACTTCTTCCAGCTGTGTCAGTGAGCTAAAATCAGTTCATTAAGAGGGTCAGATGAAGAAAGGTTGAAGTGAAACCTCGTCTTTTTAGCAAGAGTGAGCTATTATTAGCAAGCAGTCAATTTTATAGTTGTACATCAAACTACTTAGAGATGAAACTGAATTTTATTAATCACCAGTGTTGATGGAGAGTCCATTCTGCTAATCTCATTAGTCATGCAATGACACTGTTCTTTTTGTCTTCATCAACCACATTGTACAAAAACAACAGGAACAAATTCTCTTATGTTACCTAGCACAGGGAATCTGTGGATAATTTCAAAACAGTTTTAAGTCTGTATTGGAAAACCCCCATCTTCCTTTTGAAATCTTTTGGAGAGGAAATGTTTATATTTTTCTTCCCAAAGTTATAGATGTGATTAGGTAATACATGTTAGGCCTGAGATGGAGTAAATAATTCCATAGCTGCTCTAAGTTTGTGATAGTTTTAGATTTCCTGCATGTTTATAATTATATTGCTACTGTTAGATGCTACAAAAGTAGCTTTCTTTTGAATGAATGCAATATTCCCTGCACTACTGTAAGGAAGACTTCGAAGGCTCTCAACAGAAATAATTAATTACCTAGATAATGAAAGCAGTATCAGGAGGGAGAACTCTTGTAGTGCAATATGGTTTTATTTAGAGGCATTAAGAAAAATCCTAAACCTTGTTCAAAGGCTAATAAAATAGATCAGTGAATAGGCAAATACAATGTTTTGTAAAAATATTATCCCAAAATAGAATTTTTATAATTTAAGCCTTGTTTTGTGTTCAGTGTTGTGTGGTTTGCTTGTTTGCAGTGGCTCTTTGTCCTCAGAATTGTACCTTTAAATTCAGAGACATACAATTGCTTGGATATATTTGAAGTGAGTTTGTAGCAGTCTTTTGGGTAGGGGGTAGGAGAGGGCAGATTGAGGAAGGGTTGCATGTAGGTTTCCATTAGAAGACCAGTTTTCCCTCCTCTTTCTGTTAAAACTCAGATGTTCTGAGAAATCTTTGGACTTCATTTCTTACTGGCTGTCATAGTTCACATTGGATTCTTAGTCTGAAAGACTTGTAGACATTCAAAACTCATTCATTCGCTTAAGTATTTTTGATGGATTAAACAGAATGTTTGATAAGTGATTGTATGTGTTATCTTGCTTACCTATAGCATAACCTCGTTGGGTGCATCTTTCTTTCCTTGTATTCTGTCCTGAACTCCCCACTCTCATCTAGTAAGATTCCTTCACCTAGACTACATTTTGTTCTTTTTCAATTTTCTGATGTCAGGAGTATGAACAACCACAAAAAAACTGTAACATTTGTTTTCTGTTGACTAGAACTTTGTAAAACCTGTGAAAAGTATGTAGCGGGTAAGATAACTCTACACTTAAAATTATATATTGCATGAGTGTGTGAACTTGGTTAAGACTTGTTTTTCTCACATAAGTGTAGCATTTGGAATTTCTTGTTTATTCTTTAGGTGTAATTTCTGTGGAAATAATGGTTGTTCCCTGGTAACTCATCTGCTTCTTGTGGATGGGAGGTGTGTTCAGGACAAAGGTCATGTTGCTAGGTTCACTGTATTCACAGAGCAAATTTTACTTCAGCATCTGTTTTAAATGTAGGTACTCAAAAGCTTCATTAGGCTTTTTAGAGAAGTATACATTATAAATATAGATGATACTTATTGTAGTTTCATTTAATCAAAGGTCAGTGAGAGAGTCTCAGTAACTGAGTAATTTGTCATCATCTACCGCAGGTGCAAGTGTTGCTCATCTCAGTTTTACGTTCTGAAGGTCAATGGCAGATATTTTCAAGAAAGGCTTTTGCAGTCTCATGACTTTTATGTTGCAAGATGTTTTGATACTTTTGTCATGGCAAATAAATTAACTAGTGTTGTGCTTTCCTTATATAGGAAAACTGGATTTCCTCTGTATGTTTTCTCCACGCTCATTCTCAAACTCTTCTGTCTCCCATTAGACCTTTTGATAACTTCTTTAAGGCAACTGCCATTTTTAAAATACAGAGCTATAAAGGAAGTTACATGTAGTGCACACTCTAACTTTTCCTGACTGATTTTTTTTTTTTGTATCCTTATGTACAGCTATCTCCATTTTTCAGTAGAGCGGTTGTACTAAATTGGCAATCTTCAGAGAATTAATTTGTGTTTTTAGCTTATCTGAGTAATTAAGCATCACTTGAATCTAGGCTTTGGGGTTTAAAAATGACATGTTTCAAGATTTACTTTAAAATATTTAAATAGTCCTAGATTAAAGTTGATAAACGATTAAGATTAGGTTTTATAACTCTGAAGACTTCGTAATATAAGAATTGGCTCAAAATTCTGTTGACTCTTGGAGGCATTTCTATAAAGTTTGTTACAGTAACCAGGGTAATTGGTAAATGACATTGCACGTATATTTAGGTGGGGTTTTTTTAAACTACTTTAAAAAAAAACTTTTTATGTTTTTAATATGTCTACTTTTTTTTTTTTCTTCCTCTTCCTTAGTCTCAGACTATGAACTACGTAGGACAACTTGCAGGACAAGTCCTGGTTACTGTGAAGGAGCTGTACAAAGGCATTAATCAGGCAACCCTTTCAGGATGCATTGATGTCATTGTGGTCCGGCAGCAGGATGGTACATACCAGTGTTCTCCTTTTCATGTCCGATTTGGGAAGCTTGGTGTATTGCGCTCTAAAGAAAAAGTGGTAAGTTCAGAAAGTGGGCCAAAACAAAGTTTTGAATACGAATGCATTCCCTTTTTTTTCCCTCTTCCTTCCTTCCCCAGCCCCCCACATATACCCAGTTAACAGGCTGATTTAATACAGAGCAGTTTCTCATATATGCTGTATGGAGTGATAGTTTTGGAATGCAAAACAGAACTTCCTGTGGTAATCTAAGGAGTCTGCAAAAAAATACTGTGAAAGAAAAGCTTTGACAGCTTTTGAGCTCTGCTGAAAGAACAGTACAACATACAGACTTCACAGTCTTACAATGTTTACATGGCTATTTATTTACATTTAAGTATGCTGGGAAAGAAATGCTTAATGCCATTTACTGTCTCTGATGTTGCAAGCAGCTATTTTTGGAATGGGTGGAGGACAAACAGAGCATGTCTTAAGGGTTGGTGACCTATCATAAATATTACTCCCTGTTAGCTCTGTTCAAGGCTGATATGCAGTAGAAAATGCGGTTGTTAATGTCCACAAGCAAATAAAAACTGGGACTGAAGCTTCATTCCTATGTGGGCGTATTTGAAAAAGAGCCTGGTACACTTTCCTGTCCAGCCAGTCTGGGACCCTGGTGCTACCTGAGCAGATTGTCCTGCTATCCCTTCTCCATAGACTTTAGTAATTTTACCTAGGGAGTGAGTTGGATTGGGTTGTAAATTTGACTGAAAATGGACCTATTGTGGGGGGACTTTACATTATTGTCAGTAAGGAGTACTGTGTATGGCAGTACTGCCTGGGGGTGTGCTACCAAAGAATGGATTGATTTAAACAGATAGTAAAACCTCGGGATTATATGCTGCTTTTCTAAGAAGTAAAACACACTGGAGGAAACTACCCCCATCTTTATATTTTGGTTGTAAAAAGAGAATAAAGCACAGCTAAAAGAGTGGTTATGTTAGGGCATATTTTTTTTGTTAACAGTCTGTACTGGGAGTTACACATGTTAAAGTTGCAAGTTTATCATCGTAACATAGGCTAGCACCAGTTTTCTTATTTCATTTTTTGTTTTGATTTTCCACTTGCTAGTGTTTTTCTTAATAAGCAGGCTGATGACAAAGTTAATTTTTTTTAACAATTCTGCAACAGTTTACAGTTTTTCTGCAAGGTCAAGAGAGGTGGAATAGCTGCACTTTTTCTGATGTCTAAGCAAGATACACTTACAACAGGATTGACCTGAAACTTGAGTTTGCTAAATGTCTTCACACTTCTGAGAAGCTGAACCAAATCTGAGAGGATTTCAGCTTCTGTGTATCTCTGAAAAACTGTTGAACAGTAGAAACAACTACTCTTGGTACTTGCTGTACTAGGCTGTCAGCATAATTCTCAAGCTTTTGCTTGGGTGGAGGATGTCTGCTGTTTCTTGCTCCCTTCATCCTTGGAGTTGCCATTCTGCATTTGAGTGTTCTCTCAGTTGTCAGTTGAAGGTTTATTATTGCGTTGTGTATCCATTTTTCTCTGTCATGTTAGGAAGCTAAGATCAATTGGTAGGATGCATGGGAACATAGAATACGCATATCTGTGCTTCAACACTGTACTTATGCTGAAGTTTCTGGAGACCAGTATGAGGTATAGGTGCTAAAATTTGGGATGTTTGTCTGTCTAAATCAGCATAAAAGAAAGGTTGAAAAAAAAGAAACACTAAGGTAAGTTTTTGGTGGTTTTTTAAACTGATGCTACTGAATTGGAAATTCAAGAAAGTACTTTAAGAATAAACTGTGTTTAGTAGTGAAATAAATACGATTAACTGATCAAAACCATTCAGTTCTTGTGGTGAAAAAGAAAAGCTGTTATCTTAAGGATTTATGTATAGTGTCCATGCATGTTTGGTTATCTACCTGTAATCTGATCATCACCTATGACTGGGCTTCCTTGGCTAATGATTTTATTCTCATAAGTGGACAAATAACAGAGTGTATTAGGATACATAGATACTGTCTTAGCACTGTGGTGGTATATTTTTTCTTGGCTGTCCATGTTATTAATATTAAATTAGTCCTCTTTTTGACTGGCCATTTCATATCATGATAACTAACTATGAATATGAATGCTCATATCACAAATACTAGCTGTATGTCTTGGGATGTAATTTTTTCTTTTGTATTGGCAGTAAACTAGAACTTGAGTAATGTACGTCTTGGATATCTCATAGAAATTACAGTATTTAACTTGTGTCCTTTTGATAAAAGTGTCTAAACTATATATAACCTGAAATGCTATTGGAATTCTCTGCAGTAAGGCAAGTTCATTGTGTTTCCATCTGACATGTATTTGATTATTTTTAATTAGTTAGGCTAAATGCAGATATACAGATACCTTATTTTTCAGTAAATATGCTTATCTAATGGTAATTTTATCTGAGTGAACACATTTTGCTTGGAAAAATTTGGAATGTAATGTAACTTGATGCCCAAGATTTCACAAAGAAGTAAAATAGTTGTATCTTGGTTTTAGAAAGACATTTGTGTTTTTTCTTTTATTTCATACATGTGGGGAAGGGTAATTTCTCCCTCCTATGCAATATAATCTAAGTTAAAGTACCTTTATGAGAATAAATACATGCTTTCTCTGATGAAAGCACTATGGCTGCAGAAGGGTTGTGGTCCTATGTCATGTCCCCATAAACTCACACGCAGGAAAATCTGAAACAACGTTAACTGAGTTGCAGAAATAATGGTAGCAATTCTCTATCCCTTTGAGACAAAGACTGTTTCCAGGAGGCTTCCAGGTTGTTCTCTTGAACTTTTGGTATCAAGGACTCTGATTTATACCAGGCCCCAGTTCAGGTTGAGCTTTAAACATATGAACACGAACAGTTTCAATCATTCTTCCAGAAAATAAAGACTAGATTAGTGATTATTATTTATGCTTCTATCTTTCTAAATTAGTTGAACAAGATTCAATCTTCAGATGTTCTGGTTTGGTTTGGGTTTTTTTTCCAATCTCTCTTGTAGGTGTTAGGGTCTCTGTTAAGAGCATGATGTTTTTTGCAGGGTAAGGAAATAAAGACCTTTATTATAACAAGACTTTTTTCAAAAAGCGGAGGGAGGAGAAAAAGTCATGATTATACAATGGAACAAAGTTTACTGTCAGAGCTAAGTGAGCCTTGAAGTCAATGCTTTCCCCTATGATGTATGACTTACATTAAACTGTCTCTTTCTGCAGATTGATATAGAAATTAATGGCGATGCTGTTGATCTTCATATGAAACTGGGTGACAATGGAGAAGCTTTCTTTGTACAAGAAACTGAGGAGGAAAATGTAAGGGCTTTGTGCTTCATGAGGGCTATGATGAAGTATTGAGAGTAATGTCTTAAAAAGGCTTAATATAGTGTTGTTAATATTGTAACTTTTTTGAAAGCTAGATTTTCTGTGTCTGAATCTTAACATCACTTTCATATGTTGCCAAGATGCATTGTACAGTTCTGCTACAGTAATAATAAAGTAACTAATTCTCTTTTTTATTAGAGCATTCTTTGAAAGATTTGTTAAATTTTAAAAAATTGGTTTAGTAGATTTATTCTTGTTGACTTCAGTTATACAGATTGCAGTGCCTTATAATAATTCTTGCCTTAAATTCTTATAGCTTGTGCTGCTGACTTCTGTACTAATAAAGGTTTTCTATTTTGGCATATTTTTAATGTCTTATAATTTTTAGCACGGTTTTTCATAATTTTGTCTATGAAACTTTCACCAGTTAACCATAACTTCTTCAAATTGATAATTCTTCTTATATTATAAGTAATTTACTATGAACTTATTGCAGCTGGAAGCTAATGAGCCTCTGAAAAACAGGAATAATGGTTTATTTTTTGTCTGATTTCCTAAGGATTTGGGACCTATGTAAGCCCATTTGTCAGTCCTGAGCTTCGATTTTGATCACTGTTGAATCTGTTGGCATTTTTCAACAAGACAGAAGGCAAAAAGTTCTAAATACAAAGTTCCAAAAAGTTTAATGAAAACAGTGAGCTAGAGGAGAGAGAAAAAAATTTTGTCTCAGTGAAGTGAAAGTTGAAGTGTTAATTTCCTGTTGTTAGTAGTAATCAGTGTCTTTCAAGGAAATGAGTTTGATCCACTTTTTAGTGTAGGATGCTACTTGTTTACTGTGAGGGATGGAGGAAGCTCTCATTTTGAAAGCAGTTAAATTTTCAAGTGGAAGAACTATATAAGCATTAAGAACTTAAATGATAACTTGAGGTTAGGAATTCATAGCACTTACGAGAAAGGAAGGTTGGGTTCTGTTTTAGCATACTCCATGATTAAAATCAAAACTGAAAGCAATTTTTTATAAATGTAGGCTGTGTCAGCCATTGATAGGAACTGATTAGTCTTAAGACCTTCAGAGAGCAAGGGTGATTAGCACTGCCTTTGTCCCCAGTACAGTGTTTTAAAGGAGCTAGTGCACTTGCTTAGTATATTTTAATTTATAACAGGAGTGCCTTATCTGTGTATAATGTGTTCTGGAAAGCTGGCAGTGCATGCCAAAATGATAGAGTTGGCTACAAAGCAGAAGGCTGAGTTGCTTTAGTGCTTTTAGACATTTTTTTCTTAGTATTTCTGCTACTGATCAACATGTCCTTGTGATCACCTCTTGAAGCTATGCTTATGATATAAATGAATGATAAAGCTCTCATTGAGTTCTTGATGGATTCAGAAAGGTTCTTTCAAGTGGTCAGTCTTTGCTGTTTTCAGATCTTGACATTCAAAAGTAACACCATGCCTCAATTCATGTAAATCAGGACTGTGTAACTTTTAGGCATGATTTTTCAGCCAATTTTCTTTACATTTCCTCTTATTTCTTAATTTTGTCTGTTATTCTGGATTATTTATCACTAATTGTATAGAATATTAAGTATTTTAGGTGCTCTGATTTTATCTGGAGGTTTTTCGAAATCTGTGTGTCGTTAGTGCTTTATAAGGCTGTTGTCCTTTCACCACTTTACAACCAGTGGAACAAGACTTGGTCTGTAATTCTTAACTCAATGGAGAAATTAATATTAAATAATAGCAGTTCAGACTTTGAACATATCTAAAGTAGTATCAGTGCTCAGGCTGTTTCTGATCACAGTGTAGTTCCTGACTGATCTTCTGCATAAGAGTCCTGAAAAAATAACAGGCTAATTAGTTCTATTCTTACCATGAAATTGAGCTCCATAACTTACCCTTCTTGCTATGCAGATTCTTTCAATCTAGATGTCAATATCTTTTAAGTTTCTTGTTATGATGTAAATAAACCCCAGTCCATTGGTAAAGCTTTTCCTTCATTTGAATTGCTCCTTCAAAGGGCAATGAGTTGTAATTAGTTGAAGGTTGTTTATTGTTTTTAATGTTAATAAATTATAGTTGAGTTTTTCTTTTTGAACGATATTTTGCATAAGTAGTGTCTGACATGGGTGACAAGATGAATGCATCTTCTCCAATTCTGTGGGTAACAATGAACTGGGAGGAGAAGTATACAGGCCAGAAAAGGAGCCACCACAGAGAGACAACTTGACAGGCAGTGAGACCAGACCAACATGATTCACACAGTGTTTAACCAAGATACATGTGAAGGCCTGCATCTAGTTTGGAAGAATCCCACACAGCAGTACAGGCTGGGGTCTGACAGGATGAAATACAGCTCTGTTGTAAAGTCTGGCAGCGTGCCCTGGCAGCAGTGAAGGCACATGTGTCCAAGGCTGCATCAGCAGGAGTACAGCCAGCACATGGAGGGATGTGGTATTGTCCCACTCAGCCTAGTACTTGTTAGGCCAAACCAGGGACATAGCTTTGGTCTACCAACTTCTGGTCTCCCCAGTTCAGTAGAGACATGGAAAATTAGATGGAGTCCAGTGGAGAGCCACCAAGATGGTCAGAGGTTTGGAGAAGTTGACATAGGAAGAACGATTGCTGGAATTGGCTGTGCTCAGCCTAGAAGATTCAGGGGGTTCTAACCACAGTCTTGCAATACCTACAAGGTAGTTATAGAGCAGACGGAGGCACTCCCTTCACAAGGATGCCTGGTAATAAGGGGTAAAGTGCATAAGGAGGAAATTCCACCTGGATATGAGAAAAATCCTTCACTATGAGAACAATGTAACACAGGAATAGATTGCCTAGAGAAATGGTAGACTCTCCCTCACTGGAAATACTCAACATTTGGCTTGACAGGGCCCTGGATAACATAACCTAAGGCCCTATTTTTAACACAAGATTTAACCAGATGATTTCCAGATATCCCTTCCAACCTCCACCTTTCTGTTTCAAAATAGTCAGCAGTGGATTTAATGAGCCTATTTTTATTAACACATTTACTAAACCTGAATAGAACTGGTATGCTCAAGGACAGATTATTTTAAAAACATTCCTCTGACTGGGTATTTGTTTTGGTAGCAAAACAAATTGTGTATATGTATAGCAAATGTGTGTATTTATAGCAAAAGATTGTGTATGTCTGAAACGGTAAGAATACTAACATTCATTTTTCTGAACTTCGTAATCCCCCTAGTGAACTTGGTTCCTTTCTGTGTATCGGCCTCATACCACTGGGCTATTGTATGGTTTCATGTCTAAATATAGATGCAAGGATTAATCTAGCCCACAACTATCCTGTATGCACAAAACAAAGTAAACAAATTATTCTGTTCTCTATTTTCTTTTTATTTCTGCTTAGGAAAAAGTTCCTGCCTATTTGGCAACATCTCCAATACCCACTGAAGACCAGTTTTTTAAAGACACTGACAATCATTTGAAATCAGGTGAAAATGAGAGGACATGTACAAACTCAGAAATTCCACACTCTGTAGAAACAGAGACTGTGTTCACCCCAGGTTCTGTGAAAAAGAAAAAAAGAAGAAGAAAGAAATACAAACAGGATAGCAGGAAGGAAGATCAGATCTCTTCTGCTGGGACCGAAGAGATTTTTGAAATGGAAATAAGTTCAGATGATGAAAAAAGTGTTCAACCCCTAAGGTAAACTATCAAATACTTGCTGTCTGTTTTCACTGTTATCACCGACTTCTCAAAGGTAGTTTGTACCTTTCCTCTATATAAGCCATGCATAAGTTTCAGTAGACTCTGGATAGGCTTTTCTTCAAACAGACAAACAAAACTCCAAACCATTATCTTCCACATCTCTACAGAATCCTTTCAGTTTGGTCATTTTGTTATGCACATGAAATCCAATTAAGCCCATTCTGGTGATGAAATGTTGTAATGATCTGTTGTGTGACTGAGTAGTTTCAACATAATTTCTCTCTTGAGGCAGAGTGGCCTTTTATCACGTTTGGTAACCTCTACATAAACTGCAGTGTGGAATGCCTCAATTTGACTTTTCTGTAACTTGAACTTTAATTTGGTAACTGAAAACAACATAAATGAATGCTCCTTTACATTCATAAAGAGGATTCTTTACATGTGTGTAGTCATAAAGGGGGAAAAGAAAAAAAATCAGTCCTGTCGTTTGAAGTGGATAAACTATTAGTAAAGTGGAATTTGCAGTAAAGTGACAGCATGTACTAATAAGCTGAAGAAGCTTTTATGTGAGTAGTAGGAAAGATTATAGTAATAGAAGGAAGCTATCAAGCATATAAATGCTTAAAATCCAGGGAAAGGACTGCTCTACTTCTGTGGAAGTTTCCTAGCCTGCTTAACAAAAAAGTAGACTTTGTTTTTAGACAAAACTAGCTACTTTATTGGACAGCACTACTGTTAAATGTGGTACTGTCTGAATAAATTCAAGATCTGTTCTGGGAATTGGAAGAATGCTTTGGTATAAGAGAACAAAGTATAACTGAAAAAAGTTCAGTATGGGTCTTCAAGGGAGTTTCAAATTTAGTAAGTCCAAATCACAAAGGTTAGTGCAACAGAAAAACATTAATCTAACTGTTGTCACAACAATGATCAATAAACCACAACACAATTCAGTTTTTAAAGTGTTTTCTAGAATGTCTGTGCCTTTCTTAATTCATGTACCTTATTTTTTTTATTGTCATATGTATGTCAAGGAATTGTCATTTAGCTTTACTGCTCTGTTTTGTTTGGTTTGGCATTTTGTTTGGTTTAAGATTTTTCCTTCTTTCTCAGTTTAAGAAAAGTAAGATCTTTGTCCAGCCCTCAGTGTGAGAGTATTAAGACAACAATAACTTGTTGTAGTGAAACCATCAAAAATTAAAATAACCATCAAATACAGGGAAAAAAAAACAAACTTTTTTTCTTTATTTAATAAGTTATTACAAATATATGAAGAATTTAAGAATGTTATGTCAGTAATGGCTGTCTTCATCCAGCATTTAGGATTCAAATTGCTATTCTAGCAATTACCTTAATTTGACTAGAGATGAATAAAAAATTGTAGGTTTGACTGAAATGTCAAATATTTAGTCATTGCTGAACAGACCATGGTGTCTCCATAAAGGTTACTCTTAGGTTTTTTTGTACCCTTTAGAATGAAAGATTTAAAAGGTTTTTTGTTTTTAAACCACATTTTTATATATATAAAAAAACAGAAACAGCAGTAGAAATGCATTTTGGGAAATAATGCTATTTTCCTGTGAGTAGCAAGTAAATGCAGGACTGAAAAAATAGATTGTAGTAACAGAAGCCCAGAGACAGTAGTTTCATGGCTATTGTATCTGTTAGTGGAGTTCATACACATTCATTCCAGTAGGCTACAAAGGCAGGAAATAAAATGTCTTGCGATAGACATACACCATTTTCTACCTAGCTAAAGATACAGTTGGGCAAAAAAGTTCATAAGCTTTCTTTTCACATCCTGTAAGGATGTAAAGTGATATCAGCAAGTTTGGGTTTTTTTAGTTACAAACATGTGGCTCTGGGGAAAAAAACAAAGGAAAAAAAAAAAAAAAAGAAATAGAGACTTAGCTATTATTAGACATAGTTTCAATTTGAAATCTGAAGCTGGGAAAGGAAGAGGGAGTCTGATGTTCCAACAGGAAGGTCAAAAATTTAGGCACAGGTACCAGTATGTAATGTCTTATCTAGTTCTATTCTTATAAAGCAGAAAACAGGCTGTTTCCTGTTCCTTGGGAAAATCCATTTCCAAGTGTTTTTGCAATTTTTCTTAAAATATGTCCTTTGTTTTTCCTAGCTATGATTTAGATATATTAGTAAAATCTAAATATTTACATATTTGAATAAATAACGTTAAAATCTTTCCTTTTCTCCATCCATAAGAGAAATTAGCATTAGTATTCCCGAATAGGTCCAGTGCAACTGTGCTGCTAATGGGAGAAAAATGTTTATTTTTTTCTTTCATAATGATGGCTTAAAATAATTTATATTGCATTTTACACTCAGGCTTGTCTTCCTTGTATTCCATCCAGTGCTTAGCCATGATGCCCTTGATCTAACCTCAAAACAAGTTAGTTGTATCCTGAGAATAGGTATTTATTCAATTAAATTCAAAAAGCTGTAAAAGGATCTGAGGTACTTAGGATGGAACTATTTAAAAGGGACTTCTGGGTAAAGTGCAGTGCATGCCTGCTCAAAGGGTCTTACTGTTTGGGTTTTGTTTGGGGTTTTTTGTTTGTTGGGCTTTTTTGTGTTGTTACAGATAGTGAATAGACTTCCCAGAGAAGGAAAAAAAAACCACAAAACCAAACAAACAAAAAACCTAAAATTTTTGGTTTTGTATAGGAGTACTATGATTTTCAGAACAGTATAGTACTTCTAGCTACTTTGTGTTAATTTGTAATCTCATGGGTAAATTGGGGCTAGTACCTACCCCTGTTTTCTTACTGGTTTTAATTTGTGAAATGTGCAGTCAAAGTGTATTGTCAAAACTACCTTTTCTATATAACTGCTGTGATTCTGAGGTTTATGTAGTGAAGGTTATGTGTAAGTATTTATGTTCATCTTAGAGTTTTTGTAGTATAAACTGGCTATATAGAATGATACCACTTATTTTATTGTGAATTCTTCAGTATTAACTTACTATGTGTCAAGAATAGTAGGTTTTTGAATTCTTGTAATATTTTCAGATATTAATATTTTTATATACATTTAAATTTATATAAAGGTGTGTTGTAAGCAATGAATTTTTTTAAGCTATACACTTTTTTCTTTTGATCTTGGATTTTTAATGACATATAAGTAACTTTTCTAACTGGATTAGTAATGCAGATTTCTTATAGCTGGCTTTTTTAATGTCATGTATATCTCTACAGAGGATCGTCAAATTCATCACCAAAGGGTGAAGAACAAAAAGAATCTTTGATTTACCACTCGAAGGATCACTACCCTTTATCTGATGGAGACTGGTCCCCTCTGGAGAAGTAAGTCACATTGTGATGTCATATGTATAATCATGAGTGACTATTAACAAAATTAATGTGCCTTTTAATTAATTTTTTCCCCCTGATCTGTAAAACTATCAAGCATGCTTAAGTTTTGTGATATCAAATGCAGCAAATTTGATACTTATTTGGAACTTTAATACTCTATGTATTAAACAAAATTTGTCTTTTTTTTTTTTCCTTTAATAAAAACTGCCCTCTTCTTATTAAAATTCACTATTAAAGAGAGAGAATCCAGTTAATAAGATTTCCTTAGGCTGAGAGGAGTATGGAAAATCAATATGTTCCTTATGATTCACCCTAGCATAAGTAACACGATCTTCCATGAAGCAGAATTGTTGAGTGTGTAATTTAGATTTTACCAGGTGAAATAATGCAAATTATTCAATGTAAAGCTAGGTCCTAAGCTTGAATCATATTGTACTTCAGAAGAGAGGATTTACTATTTCCTGGAGTTCTGGTATCTCTGGATATTCCTCTTGCATTCAGTTTCTAGATTTTTTCAAATCTCATGCTTTGGATTGCACCACTCTAACATCAGTCTCTATTTGTGTAAGAAAGCATTCTGTATGCAGTAGTAGTTGAGGTAAATTTCATGCTTTTTCTGAACATTTGACATAGGAAAGGACATACGTATTTATATTTTTTTATATATATATATATGTGTGTGTGTGTGTGTGTGTGTATATATATATAGATATAGATATAGAGATAGATAGATAGATAGATAGATAGATAGATAGATAGATAGATAGATAGATAGATAAAAAATACGTGCTGAGCAGTATCGACTCATCTTTGGTGAGTGTCTGGTTCTACTCCTTTTCAGTTTGACCGAGGACTCTACCTCATAGCAAATACATTCATAGTGTCAGTGAGAATTACTGGTCAGCCTTGTGTGATATCCATTGTTGCGTGTTAGCTGCTTGGTGCACAGGTGCCTGCTCTTCTGTAGAGTGAATGTGCCACACCGTGCTTGGTGCCTGCTAATTGCCCCAGTGCATAGTTTGTTAATGAACAGAAGCAGTTGGACAGGAAATCCCATTATCGTTCCTTTTTATATTTTGGGCTGACAACCACATCCTCAATTGTATTTAATGAGATGTAGTCTTCAAATGTTCCCCAAAGGTTTGTGGTTTGTGACTGAAAAGCAGTCACAGTGTTTGACCCTGAGGACTGACATGGTGTTGTATGGATTTTATCACCCAGCTAATTGTAGCATAGAGTTCTTCATCCAGGTAGGCTGATACTCCTTTTCACTTTATAAAACTCTAGCTAACGTACACTAGCAGATTACGTCTGGGAGACATAATTCATCCCTTTTCAGTGCTGTCTCCTCCTGCTTATATCTGTAGGGGATATTCTGCTCTAACAACTTGACTGTATCATGTGAGCTACCTAGTTTCTTTACATTTATTTTTTATTGTTTGCTTGTTTGTTTTAAACAAGAAGCTATCCAGTACAGGTTGGGGTGTAACAGATAAATTGATCATTTTCCTTTCCCTCTTAGGGGTGGGGGGGAATATTAGGTGGGGGATTCTCTCTTTAGAGGAAGAGAAATTTTGCATGTAATTATTTCTCGTAAGCCACCAAAGAAAGATTCTATAATGTAACAGTCACACAGTGAAAGAGAAGTGGGAGGTTTTGCTAATGTCCTTGGAGAGCTGAAAAAGCTAACTGACTTTTAGTTGAGGTTGGTTGTCTTGCTCTTCAGAAGGGAGCATAATAGCCCAAGTCTTTTCAATGAGTACACTTCTGTTTGTCCTACTCACTATAATAAAACCAAAAAGCATAACCGTTAATTGTTTGATACCTAATACTATCGATGTTCTTCTTGCTTTAACAAGCATTGTTAGCATGACTAGATCGCTGCTACAGGCACGGGCCTTTTAACTAAAGATTTCTCCCTGAGAATGACAATGGAAAACTTTGGGGAGAGTGGAACAGACTTAGATTCTCAAACCCCCAAAGTATTCATTCTTTTCCAAGTACTGCTGAATATTAAGAATTAGGTGTAGAAACAGGTTATTATGTCTTCCAGCTGACTTGTGATATAGGCAGAACAAATTAGTTGGCACATAGGAAAGATGAATTTATATGCTTCCTGACAACAAATATGTACATGTATTTTTGTCAATGTGTTACTTCAAATAAGCCCTTCTAACAGCACAGAAAATGTAATTTCTGTAGGAAATTGTTAAAGGAAAACTGAGGGGGGAGGAAAAAAATCTCTAAATGGTTTCCTTTTTGTGTCCCTTGGTGATGAAGGCTGGAAGTTGACAGTGAGATGATGAATTGCCACTGTAGACATTTTTAAATGTCCAGCTATCTTGGATTTTGTGGTGTCCCTCTGAGTAACATGAGGGATTCTTATGGATTGGATCGTGACCTGATCTGTGTACTGTCTATTTTTACAGTCTGAATTATGATCAATTTAGTCTTTCATTATGTTTCAAAACTCTGGGTCCGCAAGCCTCCGGAAAGCTTCAAATATCATACCACATTAGATAACTAGTTCTTCCAGGAATTTTGTAACCAAAAAAAAAAAAAAATCCAGAAATTTTATACCTGTAGGTGTTACTGTAAATTTTCAGTATTAAATCATAAAACAGCCCAAGTTGGGAGGGACCTTAATAGATCATCTTGTCCAACCTTTTATTGGAAAAGGAAACTAGATAAGATCATCTAGCACCCTGAGCAGTGACAAAATGAAAACGTCCTGTGATGGGGACTACTTTCCTGGAAAAGTTGTTCCAGTGAATGATTATGCTCACTGTAAAATTCTTTCTTACATCAAGATGAAACATCTCCTGGTGCAACAAGTGCAAAGACAAGCACAAAGTCTCTCACCTGGGCCAACATAACCAAGGAGCCTGGTACAGGCTTGGATCTGTGTGGCTGGGCAGCAGCCTTGCTGATCTGGGGGCCCTGGGGGCAACAAGGAACATGGAGTCAGCAGAGCACTGCTGAAGCAACAAAGGCAAACTGGATCCTCAGCTGCATCCCCAGGGGTGTTACTGTCAGAGATAGAGATGTGATCATCCTGCTCTACTCAGCACTGATCAGGCCACACCTGGAGTGTTGTGTCCAGTTCTAGTCCTTATAATGCACATTCAAATACTGAGATTTATTTTTTTATATTTATATTTATATTTACATTTATATTTATATTTATATTTATATTTATATTTATATTTATATTTATATTTATATTTATATTTATATTTATATTTATATTTATATTTATATTTATATTTATATTTATATTTATATTTATATTTATATTTAAAAAAAACTCAAATGGAAGTACACTATGAATGTCAAAGTATAAAAAGAGCAGCATTTCTATAATGAGCAATATAATTGCCCTCTTAACAAAGATAGAATTGGAACTGTCCCAACACTAAATGCTACCACAAAACAACCTCTTGTATTTGCTTTCCTCCCTAAGATCATAAGAGTAAAGTGATTTTGAAATCACACCGTTCTAGCATTTTGTAGAGTGCGTTCTTTGGGTTTGAAAGTAGTCTTGGCTAAGGTAAATTTCAGACATCTATTTCTGATTTATGGATAATAACAGCTGTAGGAAAAATAGGATGGATTTTAAAAGGTCATGTAGTCCAAACACATCTAAAGGAAGCTTTCAAGTAATCTCCCTTCCCTCTCCTAAGTTATCTTATTAATGTTGTTTTCCATTCATTGGGAATTGGTGGTGTTTCGTGCATTTGAGTTAGCTTTGCAGGTCTTATGTTACTCAAGTCTTGGCATAGCAAGCTTTGTTTTTATAGAGGAAAGGAACTTAAAGCTGATTTGTCTTACTTTTAGAGAAACTTTTTTTTGTTTGTTCTGGGTTTTTTTGACAAATGGAACATGGGATGAAGGGAGAGCTTATACCTACACTGCAGATACAGTGGAGGAATCTGTTTAGGGTGATCACTATGTAAGTCCTTTAATGTGATTTTGGTTTTAACCTAATTTCTCACTGTCTGAAAACCCTGCTGGGCTTCTTGCCATGTTGTTGAATAATTGAAGCTCTGTTAAGCTGTAGAAAACTCTGCCGACAGTAGCTGCACAACAAATGCATTTTAAACACTGTAGCTTTTTTTTTGTTGTTCTTGTTGATTTGCTAGCCCTTTCTCTGAGCCAGTCTGCCCTAAAAGTGATTCAGAACTAGAAGTTAAACCTGCTGAGAGCTTGCTCAGATCTGAATCTCACATGGAATGGCAATGGGGAGGATTCCCAGAATCGACCAAGGTAAATTTATTTATTTTCTCTAACTTTGTGAAATTAGTTTTGGCATATCTAAAATTTTGTCTTAAGAGCAGATTGGAAACCTGCAGCTGTTCTGCAGAATAATTCAGCTGCAGTAGGGAGGTAGCACCCCCTTGTGGTTGGCAGATAGTCGGATTTGTTGGATTCAAAAGCTGGTCAGCAAAGTAATTCCAGAAAACCTAGCAGTAAAAATCTGAAATATTTGAATTTTCAGGTAGAAACTGAAGAAAGAAACTTTGGAAACTAATTTCCTTTATTTTAGGCTAAGTTCTAGTTTATCCCAGATGAACTGTAGCCTTGATAATGTAGATTTAGTATCTAACATGACAGCTGCTGACAGAAGCCATGGTATGTCCACATTTATGCATTTTTCTTGACATGGTTTGCTCAAGTCAGCACTTCCTCTATGCCAGTGTCTTTACTGAACTTGTAAATAAGCTAGTACAAAGCTTCTGTTGCAGGGAACTTTGTTAATAAGATGGGACGTGTTTTGTGTTCCTAAAATACGTGTTTAAATTCTTACGCAGTTTACTTGTGACCAGGACTCATACCATGAGTACAAGTTTAATGTTTAGACCAGAATAAAACAAACATTTGAAGTGAAAGGATTGACTGGATTTCTGTTTTTCAGATAAGCAAGAAAGAGAAGCTGGAACATCCGAGAACAGCTACCATTACTCCATCAGAGAAGACTCATTTTAGGGTTATTCTCAGCTCTGATGAAGTTGAAGATGATGATGATGTGAAAGATTCTGTCTGTACAGTACTGAAACCTGAGCCAAGAACTCATCCTCTGCTTAAGCAGATGGATGTTAAAGATTCTCTTGCTTCTGCAATCATAGAACCACAAGATCCGTTGCCATTAGATGCTGATCATCATTCCAGACTGTTGGTGGACCCTTTACCAGAAACAAAGCCAACAGCAAAAATTGACTCTCCTTCAAAAAAGAAAGGTATATTATAAAGGTGTTGATTCTTTCCTTCAGTGTGATCTACCAAATTTGAGGCCATAGTGGAAAAAGTATAAATGTGCCTTTTCAATTTTTCCTATTTAAAGTCTTATCTGACTAAAACTATAATTAAACTCTTGGATTTATAAATATTACAAGTCTGAATCTTCCACAATTATGTTTGTATTTAATGTGTCTCCATAGCTTCATCTTAGTAATCTTTATTGTTAAAATTAACAGGGGTGCACAAGCGAAGTCATCATCAGGGACCTGACGATATTTACTTGGAGGACCTAAAGGCTTTGGAACCTGAAGTTGCAGCACTCTACTTTCCCAAAAGGTAGTTTTGAATTAAGGTTCTGTGGATTTAGGGTTATACTGCAGTTACACTATGTGAGCTGCAACGTGTACGATTTAGGTGGTTATGCACCAGTTCTGATAAAAAGAATTGGACTTCTAGGCTTTTGTGGAGTAATCAGTACTGATCTCATTATGAAAATCTGTTTCTGATATGGCAAGAAACATATTGAAAGATCACATGGGAGGTCACTACTGAGAGATTTCATCTTTGTGGAACCTGTATGTTCTGCAAATATAGAGAGGGGGTAAGTTTAAACTGCACGCTACTTTTGCAGCAATACTCAATTTTGGCATATGGGTAGCTCTAGATAAGCACACATCAGTTTGTTTGCATGCCCTGTACCTCCATTCCAACTTTTTTTTTTTTTAATGTCAGAAAAGACCAAGAAAAAAATATCCCACAAGATCTTCATGCAAGGCGGCTCAGTTTCAAATCTGTTCTTGTTTGGTCTTTTTAATGAAGTCGAAGCATTTTATGCTCCTAAAATACTCTTCAAAACAATAATTGTCTGGGAAGACCTTTGTGAAAAATACAGGTTAACAAAGAAGTGTTGGTTGAAACTAAAATTGTAAACTCTTCAGTACTTACTGATTACATTACCTGGTATCAAACTAACCCTAATCTTAGATGACATGTGATATATTTTTATTTAAAAACCTATCTTTCTTTTCTATTGTACTTTTTCCAAACACAGTGTTCTAAAAACATCAGGCAATGTTCTTTTTCTTTTTATTCTTATTCTACAGCTTTCTGGTAAAGATTGAGGAGCATAGTATTGTTCTGCAAAAATAGGATGTAGAGGATCTTTTCCTCATTTAAATCAATTTTGTTACAGACAAGAGAAATATAATTATTTCCCAATTTAGGTTCATGTTAGGAAAACTGGAAACTGTCAATCTGCCAGTATTATGAAGGGTTGTGTGTGTGTGTTTGTATCTGGTTTTTATTTGGTTAGTTTTATGTTGTAAAATGATGTAGTTCTTAAAAGCAACAAGAATATTTATTTTTTTTTTTGAGTAATCGTATAGTGTGTTCTTTAACCTAAAATCTTTAGAGTTTTTTGCAAGTGAAATACTGATGGAAAATGTGGACTTTTTTTTTTAGTGATTCTGATCCAGGCTTCAGGCAGTGGACAGAGTCAGATACGCTTTCCGGCTCCCAGTCACCCCAGTCCGTGGGAAGTGCTGCTGCTGATAGTGGTACCGAGTGCATGTCTGATTCTGCTATGGACTTGCCTGATGTTACACTTTCACTTTGTGGAGGTCTCAATGAAAATGGAGAGATTTCTAAAGGTATCTGAAACACTATGACAGTAATAAAGCACAGGCAGGCAAACAAATGAAGTGGTTTGAATGCTCTGATTCCTACCTTGCAGAACTTTGGCTTGTTATGCTCCTGTTTAGAAAAGGGAATGCATAATCTTTCATTTTCTGAAATACTCAAGCAGAGATAGCAGAATTTAGCCTCAAATTAATCAAGAGCACTTGATGTCTTGAAGCTTTCTGTCTCCTTTTTTGCATCACATATTATGTATCTGACCAATGACTGCAATTACTTGCTTAGTGCTTTATATAAATCTTCACAAGTCATATTCTTTTCAAATGCCTGATAATTTTTCTTCTTTTCTAGTTTTTTTTTTAAAGTGATTAAAAAACTTTTACTATTGTGTTGGACTGTATTTTCTCCTACTCTACTTTTCCTATCCTAAATGTTTATTAACCTTTACATTTTTACCAGCTGATTCTTCTCTCTTAATGCTCTGGTTAATTGTGATATTGAAGTTGTATGCGTTTTTGAGGGAGCTTTTAGAGCACATAATCTTCATGAACTGCAACATTTTTAGTATTACTTTTTTTAATGGTCATCCAGTCTCTAATGCATCAAGTGAAATTTATTTATTAATAAAGGCTCAGAATAGCTCTCTTTGTAATGTGGTAGTAATACTGGATTTGATTTGAAAAATTATGTTTTCCTTGCAGGAGTCTTACACTAAATCATGAATTTCTGCAAATTTGTATAGTTGCTAGTTGTGAAAAAGCTATTAGTAGTCAGTGATTAAACAAACATGAAAAGTGGACAACATCCTTCCCCCTCCCCTTTTATTGCACTATGTAGGCCCCTTACCTACCATAATTTTTGAAGAAAACTTTAGACAACCATGACTCTCCTTTTTCAGCCTGCAAACTGAATAAGTTCCCACCTCTTCCTTATCCTCCCTCTTCTAATTTCTTAATTTTCATTACTGTGAGTGTTGAAGTGATACAAGGCTTTCCCTGTTACTGAGGAGGCAGTCAAAGACTCTTGACAGGTAGGCCATATTAGCATATCTTGAGTGATGTTGCAGGATCAGCAAAGACTGAAATGACAGAAAGCATTTTCCTAGATAGAAACTAATCAGGCATCTTGGGATTTTATATTATTATTCTAATTAAAATCTGCTTCTATTACAGAAAAATTCATGGAACATATTATTACTTATCATGAATTTGCTGAAAACCCTGGACTCATAGACAATCCTAATTTGGTAATAAGGATTTATAACAGGTAAATTCTCTATATCATGTAATTAGGTCATAGAGGGTCTCATTTAAAATCTGCCCTTTAAAGTGAGTGCATTTCTCACCTTCCATTGCAATTTGTGCTTTTGATGGAGCTGTTTCTCAGTCTCAAAGGGAATAAATTTGAAATGAAGATTTGCAGTAAATTTAGCTTTAACTGAAGTGAGAATTTTTTTTTTTTTTTACCAGCAATTACCACTGATGTTGAATTGTGTATGTTTAAAATAACCCTGGCTGCAGAAAACATTAATATTAGTTGCTGGCAGCAAATATACTTTTTCATCAATGAAAGGGCAGTTTGCACGCTGATATTTATTGACCTCTAGTCAGGTTTTGTAATATCAATAACATGTTTTAAAACAGGTATTATAATTGGGCGTTGGCTGCTCCAATGATTCTGAGTTTGCAGGTGTTTCAGAAGAGTTTGCCTAAGGTAAATAGATACACATATACTTATTTTACGATTTCGTATGTAGTAACAAATTATTATCTCTTTATTTTGTTTTTTCTATACAATTTAAAAACATGCCTAACTTTTCAGGCTACTGTTGAGTCCTGGGTCAAAGAAAAGATGCCAAAGAAGTCTGGAAGGTGGTGGTTCTGGCGCAAGAGAGAAAGCATGACTAAACAGGTAACAGGCCTATTTTGAATTTTTTTTCTTCTTTCCTTAGCTGTTAAAAGATGAAAAAATTGTAATTTGTCAGAAGTGCTCCAGAACTCTGCTCATACAGCTCCGTGTCACTGATTGACAGCTAAGAGTTACTTAGTGTTGCTGTAGCTGCTTCTTTATATTTAGTCTTAAACACATCTTTATTTGCTGTTACTGATTGCTTCAACAAAATTTATTGCATTCAGCTGTTGTACAATATTCTTAAAATTCCTTCTTTTAAGCCATAAGCAGTTGTCAGAGCTACTTTTCAGTCACTGTGGTATGTTTTAGGAATGCATACACAAATAAGTAATTAGGTGCTGTGCTGCATAATAGATGTTATACTGATAGACCCCGTTTTAGACTAAATTAAGCTTTCTAAACTTTGTATCTATGCCTTAAATTTACTTGCCCCCCCCAAAAGTGAATTTTATAAACTTAGAGGTTGACAGCTCCCTTACTGCTAAATTCATCATGTGTAAACTAGCAGTTCTCAATTTCTGGCATGCAGAGTTATATTTCCTGAAATAATAAAAAGCTGCAATGAATCATTCATCCTTAAGCATCCTTTTGTTAAATAATTTACAGAATGAGTGATTCTGAGACAATATAGTTTATGTACTATATTGATAACTGTTTAAGTGTGAACTATGAATTCACTTGGATTGGTTTAAAATGCTTAAAATGTCACTATGTTCTTTGTTACCGTGTTGCTTTAGATACCAGAGGCAAAAGAGGGGAAAGCTGAGACGCAAAGAGCAAATGAGCTGCCAACAACTATAAAAGAGCAAGTTAATAGTAGGTGTGTTCCTGTCTGAAGACTATTTTGTGGACTGAATAGCATCTTTTTTTCTGTTTCTTTCTTTTTTTTTGAATGAAGAATTCAGTAGGACTTTACTGTGGGATGAAATGTTTTCCTCTAAGATAGTGAAGATGAACCAGATGTGTTTAGCAAACATTAAGCAAAATAATGTGGCAGCAAACACTGTAGGAACTACAAATACACTACAGTAATTTCCTAAATCCTATTGTGTTTACTTCTTAAATCATAACATAACTAATAGAACAACAAAGACATATATGGTAACATTTAGCAATGGGCCACTACTCTGTAAATATAGTGGTATTGTTTTTGAGATACTGTTTGTCTTTTTTTTTTTAAAAAAAAAAGTGCCTAATATTGTATTAATAATTTAAACCATGTGAAGTTTTTTGTAACATTAAATAATTGAAACAATAAAATAGTATTAATTACAGTGCACAAGTTGCCCAAGATTGTGGTTGGAAACTAGCAGTATTTAGCACAAAACTGTCCCAGTCTAGCTAATTTATTATGCATAGTCATATTCTCCCCTGATTTTATGAAGATACTTGTGAATGTTGTTAGTGTCTTAAAGATTTAAAAAACTAAATATATTGTGATTGAATACTTTAGGGAAATTAAATGCTGCTTTTAATCTTGAAATCTCTAATTAGCAGAAAAGTAAGTCTGTGAATAACCTTAAAAGGTGAGCTACTCCACTAATTTATCACCCACAGTTTAAATTATGTAGTAACTGGCAGCTTTTTTAAAAAAACAAAACACTGTTACTTATTCAGTATCCCTTTTCATCTGTAGTTTACTTAATTCATCAACACAGTATTTGTGACCTCCGTGTCTTTACTAAACCCATCATGCGTGGAGCCAGCTAGTAATAGTAATTTTTAGACCTCCACCAATACTACTGTGCATTACAAGTCTTACTTGCTTACGGGCATATATTAGCTTTATTTGGGCATTCACTAGACCATGGACTTTGTTAATCTGTGCTATCAGGCTAGTAGCACATCCTCAACATAAGCAAAAATTACTCTTGCATGAGAATGTTACACCAATAAAGAAAGATTTTCTGTAGCTTATGTTTGTTCTGGTTGATGTCACATTAGACCTCCAGAAGATGACTCTTCTAGTGATGAAGCATCACAGGAGTTGAAGGAATCCCTGAAAATAGATTCTGCCCCAGTAGAGCATCCAACCCATGGAAACATTACATCTTATAAGAAGTCACTTAGACTTTCTTCAGACCAAATAGTAAGTGGCATGCCTTTCTTGTACATAGGATGCTTCATAATTCCACTCTGGTTCTAAGAGTTGGACTTTTTCTGCTTTTTAGAAGTGACACATAAGTACGTATCACAAATTAAAAATGATCTTTGGGTTACTTTCCTAAGGGATGTGACAGCGGTAGAAAAAAGGAATAGGGAAATTTAAAGTTTAAAAGAAAATTTAAAGTATTTTCCTGTGCTAGTGTGGGCAACTGCAAAGAACTGTTGATTAATTTTTTCTTTTAAGTTTTTCAAGAATCTGGATTTTTGGGTTTAAAAAGAATAATTTCTGAGTTTATTAATTTTGGATTTAAAAGAATAATTTCTTACAAAGTTCTATCATCAAACTTCTATATTAAAATGTTGCCAAAAAGGTGACATTGTTGGCTTCTACAATTTGGATATCCTAGGTTCTGAATGTTCCAGTAAGGTACCTTTAAATTGGTATGCAGTTTATTCATTGCAGCCTAACTTGCAAGGTAGCTCTGCTACTGCGTAAATGTGATTTTCATCAGGGAAGAATTTTGATGAAAACATCCATTAAGGAGAAAATACTATTGTATCCTATAGCAAACTAGGAGGTCCATTGGATAGTTCTGTAAGTCTCTTGTAATAGCAAGAGTTACAGTAGCAGAGTCAAATATCTGCTGCTGTAAGCAGATATAGGAGCTATGGACAAATACACATACCCAATCTACAAAACAGACTTTGCTAGCAAAGCTGTGCCAGCATTAAACTATGGTTTGCTTCTTGATGAGTTAAAGTAGACAAGGAAGAGTTTATGAGCCATTTTCTGTAGCTCATTTATGATTCTAACAATTTTCTAGTAAGGGCAACTTATATTTTCAATTATTTTGATTTATTCTAAAGGCAAAGTTGAAGCTCAGAGACGGCCCTAATGATGTTGTTTTTAGTATTACAACCCAGTATCAAGGGACCTGCCGTTGTGCAGGAACAATATATCTCTGGAACTGGAATGATAAAATCATTATATCAGACATTGATGGAACAATAACCAAGTAAGTATCATTGGTTTTGTTTTTTTTCTTATCTTGCTTTATTGATCCTATCCTGCTATTCAAAATAAGATAAAGAAACTTGATTTAAGACTATTAAAGAATGTTCATTGTCATGAAAGAAACTTACCGCTTTGATTTTTAATTTGTACTTGCATTTACAGCAAACTAGAAAGTGTCTTTTAAAAGATTAATGCAAAGGAGATAATGTTTACTATGTGATTATTGCCCTTTCAGTTAGACTTCTCCAGGTTTAGCAGCCATAGGTTAACTTGGAAACCAACCTGTGTTATATGGCCCACTAATTGCTCTGTCTGGAGTAGTTACTAATTCCCTTTTGAAATCATTAAGACCATCTGTAGAGATATTTCCATAAATACATAATATAAATTGTACATTTATTAGTGATTGACTTTAACAAAACTCATATACTTAATATCAGCTATCTCTGATTTTGCTTTTAGGTCTGATGCTTTAGGACAGATCCTCCCTCAGCTTGGCAAGGACTGGACTCATCAGGGCATTGCAAAACTCTATCATTCCATAAATGAGTGAGTATGTAATCTATGAAACATAGATAGAGTTTTCTGGAATTTGATAATTAATGGGCACGTAATTGGATTGTTTTTAATAATTATGCAGTTTATTACAATTTGTTGGCCTAAATGTGGGGAAGTGAGCTATTTCTGTCATTCACAAACAAAATTAAGTTCTTTCCCCAGATGTATACTTCTACAGGAATGGAAGCCACCACTTCTACTAGTTCCCTTCTCAAATGCTTGATTCTGCATTTTAGTTCTTAAAATCTGTGTGTAATATTGTTGTGACTACAAAAGAGAACCATAATAGCAATAATTTCTTGAACAGCCATGCATATCTCTCTGTCTGCCAGCTCAGACTGATCACAAAGCCTGCTACAAACATGTTACAGTGTAAATTCAAACCTAAATTGTGTCCTTCCAATGAATAAATGATTTTAATGTGTTTGCTACCAAACTCAAGCTGAATGCTCCTTAACATGAAAACTATCCTTATTAGGCTTGTTTCAGAAGAACTTGCCACTGCCACAAAGAGAAGTTTTCCGTCATTTGTGCTTCTGACATAAGCTGATGCAGTTCAGTAAAACAGTAGAAAAATAACTCTGCAAAATGGCAATTTCCCCTTCCCCACTCTGGGTTAGTCAAGTGAAAGTGCTCACCTTGTGATCTGCAAGAACTTGCATAGGCAGCCCCTGTGCCCTTGCAGCAGTGGTGAGGTGTTTGCTTAGTTCAAAAATGTCATGAACCACACCCTGATAAATGTACTGTTCATCTAAGAGGTATATAGCCTCGTAATACTTATGTCCAGTAACTCAGGGCAGAATAAACCTACATATTTCCTCCCCTTTCAGATTTGATCCTTTAGAAAACTTCTTTTTCAAAGTATAGTGATGCCAGAAATAATGCTACTGAGGAGGATCACAGGATGATCGTTAAACACTTAATGATCCACTTGAAATAATCAACTCTTATCTTTGCTTTTAAGTTTAGTAGTCTTACTTTCCCAAAAAAATATTTGGGATCTTAGAATCTATTGTTGGCCTTCATTCTGTGGCTAAATGTCAGCTGTGACTCCTTGCAGTCTATGGGAGATAACCTGAACTTTTTTTTTGTTTTCAGTGCATAATAGAAGAGTAGTTTTGGAATTACTTGCCACATTGAATCAAGTCTTCGAAAATGCACATAACACTTAAGACTTTTGTGCATACAGTAACTGTACAAATCTGGGTGACAGATAAACCTATAAAGTCTGCAGGAAAAATTTAGGGGCTTGATGAATGCTTCTTGTTATCCATACTTCACTCTGCACTGGAAATTCTGCCAACAACCTGAAAAGTCCAACAACTAAGACAGGAGATCTGGCATCCAGTATTATGTGATGCAGATAACTTAAAAATTGCTATCATCCTGCAGCTGGGCTAAAACCAATGTGGCACTTGTTTAAACACACTTTAGTCCATTTAATCGTGTCATCTGTATATTACCATCCCTAGCTGAGTTTTTTGATTTTGGTTTGTTTTGGTTGGTTTGTTTGTTTGTTTTTTCACTTTCCTGTTTCTTGGTTTTGATTGAGTTATGCATTTTAAAGTATTATATGCCTTGCAGATTTTTTAACAGTGAAACAGTCTTTTCCTGTGTGCAGAGCACTGCAGTGGGTCACTACCTAAACTGGTGCCTCTGGACATTGCTATAACCATATACTTACAGTTGCAAAGAAACTCCTCAGTGGGAGTATGAACTAAGTTGATAATTCTTTTCTAGAAATGGCTACAAGTTCCTGTACTGTTCTGCCCGTGCCATTGGGATGGCAGATATGACCAGAGGATACCTACACTGGGTGAATGACAAAGGAACAATTCTCCCCAGGGGCCCTCTCATGTTGTCCCCCAGCAGTTTGTTTTCTGCCTTGCATAGGTAAGTAAGCTTGTGGGATTTCATGCATCTGTTCACTCCCCATTTCAGAGAAAGAAGCAAAATAAAAAGATTTGGCTTGCTGACCATTACAGCTGTAACCATTCCACTCAGTGTTAGATTTGCTACTGAGACTTGATGTCCCTCTAGTCATCATTTATAAGCTCTTTGTTTTGTCTGAATTTCACTTGTGTACTTCTGTTTCTGAGAGCATGTTAGAAGTGGCCACAAACCACAAAATATCATAGAGCAGCTCATTTTCCCTTTTATTAATTTTTCCAGTCCATGACTGAATACTGTTAGGTTCTGTCTATATCAGTACAAATTTTTTCACTGTGGATGTTGCAAAAACAGCAAATGTTTTATTGTTTCATTGTCTCGTATCATTCTTGGATAACTACTGACCAATGTCTATATAACTACCAACACTAGCAACAGGAAGCAATGAAAATATAAATATCAGATAAATGGGGGAAGGAGAATACCCTCTATAAAATCATGATTTAGAATTTGACTTTTGAAATTTTATTTTAGGGAAGTAATAGAAAAGAAGCCTGAAAAGTTCAAAATCGAATGTTTGAATGATATCAAGAATTTGTTTGCTCCCAGTAAACAGCCTTTCTATGCTGCTTTTGGAAACAGACCCAATGTAAGTCTGCCCCTTTCTAATTGAAGGGTTAAAATGCATGAAGTACTTGGGAAGCAAAAGAAATAGGCTTTTCTTTTTGTTTCTATTTAAATTTGAATAAGGAAATAGGACACTGGTGCTTTTATGGGTTTGGTCAGGAAAGCCCACATGCAGATACTTTAAATAAAAGCAGCTAGAACTGCTTATGTGAGACAGGTTACAAATATGCATTAGTATTCTCAGAATTTTATTAAATATATTCCATATTCATTTTCATCTTTTTTGACAGCTTTATACCCTAAGGGTATTAATTCAGTGCTCTTCAGTCTCAAATCCTTTTTCCAGTTTTACAGTTCCTGTATTTTTTTCTGCAGCTCAAGGCTTTTGTAATTGAGCTAGAGAGAGAGTATTGTAAGAGGAATATTGTCAGAAGGAATGGTATTGTGTGGTATAGATTTTTGGGTACGTTTGTGGTCCCAGGCTTGGGAACAGGAATTAAATGTTTGGAGGCGGAGGGATTGTTTTGTTATGGTGTGTGTATGTTCTTTGGGGGTTTTTTGTTATTTTTTGGCTGTTGTTTAGGGGACTTTTAATAAAGAGGCAGGTTTACTGCACCCTTTTTGGATCAGCTTTTTTCATTTCTTCAATAAATTAATTGTGATATACATTTAATAAGGTGATGTTGAAGCATGTGCTGTTCATGCTTTTTGCAGGATGTGTATGCCTACATGCAAGTGGGAGTTCCAGACTGCAGAATATTCACTGTGAATCCAAAGGGTGAACTGATCCAAGAACGGACTAAGGGAAACAAATCTTCGTAAGATCATTTTTGTTATTTCAACTAAAGAAAGTACTTAGGAATTAGATTACCAAATATTTGTATTTGTGACTGTGATGATTTGATCTATTACATACAACACATGAAAATCTTATTTGCCAGAGACTTATTGGATACTTGACTGAAAGTTTTCAAAAAGAAAAGTAAACTGGCAAAATAAAATTGAAAATTGCTTCTTCAATAGTGATGCCTTATTTGACTATAGCTTTCTGGTCTAGACTTCTAAAGCTCCTTTTTGGCTTACAGTTGAACAGTGACTAGACTGTTAAATATTGATCTTTCTTTTTTAATATAGGTATTACAGACTAAGTGAGCTTGTGGAACATGTGTTCCCATTGCTTAATAAAGAACAGAGCTCTGCATTTCCGTGCCCAGAATTCAGCTCCTTTTGCTACTGGAGAGAGCCTCTTCCTGACCTTAACATGGACGACCTGGCCTGAAAAATACTTCTCACCTAGAGATGGAATTTCATATTCAGCTACTCAACTTCAGTTTAAATGTGAAGAACTTTCTTAATGAAGATGCAAATTTATATACTGGTACTGTAAGTCTTACTTAAGAAATCACTTTAACTCCGTTGGTTTAAAACAAAGAAAATGCAAAGCTACTGTCTTATTTTTTTGTGGGGGGGATTTGATTTTTTGTTTGTTTGTTTCTTTATCGCTTGTCTTTATATACCTGTTCTAAGGCACTTGAGATTGGCCTGTCATTGATGGTCATGGTACCCAAGTGCTTCAAGGCAAAGAAATGCTGAGGCAAACTATGATTTTGCATTTTCATCAGTACAGACCTTATTGTAAACATAGGTTGTTCGTTGGTTTTTTTGTATTAGTCTTAATAGTGTATTTTCTAAAATGAAGCCAAAAAGTGTATGGAAACTGCCAAATAGAATGTCAGACCTGTTAACAAAAAGTGTGGTCTAATGTTCAGGTGGGCAATTAGGCCATTTCCGAAAGGAGCCAGAACCTAAGACCAGTGTGCTCTTTGTCAGCTAAAACACAGAAAATGTGTAGAGGTTACTAGCCTGACAAACTCTGAAGACATAAAATGCCTCTTTAAATGTAAATATGCCTTTTGTCACATGTACAAGACTGTGCTTTTACAATTCACGCTCAAACTAACTCTGCTGATTACTTTTTTTACATGCAGTGTTTAAACTATTTCATGAGCTTGTTAAAATGGAAGTTGTCTTCAGATACTTGTATGGCTTTTGTTGTTTTCAGGCTGCACTATGTCATGTCAAATTTCCATCAAGAAAAATCTTGAACATTTCTGTAAGAGTTGGGGAGCTGGCATTTTTATTTCCTTTTTCAACAGAGATGATCCATATGTGTGTGATGCTGTGTAGGCCAGTAAAATGTATGTACAGATTATATTCAGGGAATTGTAATACTAAAAAATAATGTATTTAATTTTTTAATTGTCTACTGCAGGTCTTTCCAGAATTCTGTATTGCAGGTTTTCAGTAGCTGGAAGGAAATGCAGCTCAGTAGTGAGATTCCAGGTATGAGAATGGTTAAATGCTGCAGAGCAGAATAAACCTTTTTGGTTTTGGGTTATTCATAAACATTGTGCTGGTCATTCCTCAGGTTCAGATCAGAGCCTGTGAACAAACTGCATTCCAAGTCTAGTGTTTATCAGCTGTAAAAGCAGCTAGCATTTCTCTTTCCAAAAAAAATAGTTGAAGGCAAAGGTAGTTCTGCTTTTTGAGTTATTGCATTTAACCTCCTTCAGACAAATCTATGGTGAGAATGTATCATTCTACCAGCCCAGAGTGTTTAAGGACTACAGTCATTTAAATGTCAGTCCTGGGCTTTCTGGACACAACAGTCTTTTCTGTCACTCCTTAAGCAAATTGCTGGGGCCATACATTAAAGATACTTCCAGGGGGAACACCCAGAATTTCCACCAGGCTCTGGGGCGAGCTCCCCCACTGCTCCCCATACGCAGGTCCCTGTGGGAGCAGGGAAGTGTGAGTGATCTTCAGAGGACGTTTGTATGGCTACCTGATGCGGCACCTGCACCAGGGCTGCTCTTCTCGGAGACAGCTTGGGCAGGCCCTTCTGCCTCAGCTTACTTGGGCTGAATATAGGAAAGGAGCTCTCTGTTTCACTACCTGCAAAAGGGCACATTTAGAGGATTTTAACCCCCTTCCCCAGCCCCAGGAATATTTTTCTTCTATCAGGCCGAGTAGTCTTAACCCACAGTTCTGTTGTAACACCAGCTAATGCTAGACAATTGGTGAACTGCTTGGTGGGGGGGTAAATTTTTAGATCACTATATAAATAAATAACTCCCCCCCCTTATAAAACTCTAGTGTATTCCTGTGTTTATACAACAAAAGAATGGGGGCAAGCAAAAGCAACATGGAACCTCTCTTTTAAAGCAGGAGTATAAGAGTGGGAAAGAAAACATACCTATCTGTCATGATGGGGGTTGAAAGACACTATCCTTCTTGTACAGTGAGAACAATACTTCCCTGTGACTCTTTCAGCATATTCTTGGTCCTGTCACCAATCTACTCACTGCTCAAGTAGATTTCACAGGATTCAACTGAAAAAATATTTTGCTCTTACTGCTTCTTCTTTTCCTTTTATTTTTTTCACTTACAAACATGGTTCCTTTTTTTTTTCTCCTTTTCTTACCTTTTATTCCATAGATTTCATTAGAAACTGAAATTTTCATGATCACCAAGTGCTTTGAATATCAATGGGATTTGAGCTTTTAAGTCACTAAAATACTTTAAATAAGAATCCAACATAATATTTTAATTACAAGATGAAATATTCTATCTAAAGATTATATTTTACATAAAGGGAGTGAAGCTGCCTCTCCTAAAACAGTGGATGTCAAAATTTTCTTTACTGCGCATAACTTGTTCTTGGTGGCCCTGATATTACCTGGGGTTTTTCTAAAAATAAGAGCACTTCATGAAACTGGGATAAGTTTCCAAATGGGACAGATTATTACCAAGATTTGTCTGTATCTTTCTTGGTTAATTTTTTTCTCTTCAGTTCCATTCACCTTTTCAGCTTGTCATAAAGGCAAGTTGTGGATTTAAGATGGGCACTTGAGTAAATGAGCAGTGTGGAAAAATAGTATCAGGTATATCCCAAAACACATATAATTTAAGGTGGTCTGAATATGGGGGTTGAGTGGTACAGAGCTCCCCATTCTGCTAACCTGTTACTTTGCATTACAGGGATGTCCAACAAGTTGCTTAGTTTAAAATATTTCTTTTTCTGCTCTGTAACAGCTACAGTTTTGATATATGTTTTTTGATAAAATATAATAGTGTTCTTCAGTATTTCTGATACGAGTAGGGCAGAGTTTTGTTCTGTTTTTCTAAATCTGGCTTGTATTTGAAGCTTTTCAGATTGTTTGTTAACCCTGTTTAGGGACAGAATAGGGGGGCACTGTACCTGTCATTGCATACCTATGTAATTTGGACTGCTGGGCACTTTACTGACTCTAGAAAAGACATCTCATTACTATCAACCCGTAGGCTTGTGCTGCAATATTAGTATGAATTGGAGTAAATAAGAATTATGCATTAGCCTGCCCTTTGTTACCTTAGCCGAGAGAAGTGGCCTGAAACTAATGTTTGAGGACAAGTTATGCTACACTTACTTAAAATCAGCGCAAGCTAAATCATTCTTTCTGTGAAAGAGGAACTTCTAAGTGTATGTGCCTGTAGGCACATGCACACCCCTGTTAAGACTGTGTTGTTGAAGATGCAGATCCTCTTAGCATTGGAACCATATCAAAAGCTGAGTCAATGATACCTATCTGGAAATAAACAAGGAACACTGCAATTCAAAACTTTAGTAACTTGGACATTACCCATTTCTATAATGATTTAACGATCAGTAACTAAAGTGGTACACATTTCTGGATATTTATTTTTTTTATTGTACCAAGCATGTTTGTACTTCGAAAGGTTGGGCTCTCATCCCTAACAGTATACAACTGCATGTGCAATCTTGGCTCACGTATCCTTAGCTTCCTGTCATCAGTATATTCCTTCTAAAACTTTTTCTTTTGTCAACTGGAAAAGTTTTAACACTTGTGTCAACTCTGTTATGGAACTTCTGAAGCAAACTCTGAATCCGCTTATGGCAAAGACAAAAGAGATGAGATTTCATGTTAATATTTCATACAAGTCTTCTAGAAAATGTTGTCATATGAATGAGAGTTGTTTAAATGACTGTAATGCAAATTCATAATGAAACATCAAAAATACACAGTGAATTTGAGATGCCTTTGAAGTGTCACTTTTGCCTGAAGAAGTTTTAGTTTCCAAAGTGAAAATTTGCTGAATAGAATGGAATTGTTTTGAATTTTTTTTACAGTGTTAATTACTTCCAGATGAAAGTTAAAACGCTGGTTTATTTTGAGGGTGGGAAAACTCTCTTCAGTCGTTTCATTTTTATGTTGAAGATGTGGAATATTTGATTGTTAAGCAACCCAATCACTAATAAGGTAGTGTGTTTAAAACTGTCAAATCTGTGATCATACCAATACAGTGGTTTTTGTTAAGACTGGACTATCTTGGGTACAGTAACCCATACTTCAGTGCAATGTTTATTGATGTTCAGACCAATGTTATCACAATAAACAAACATAAACTAATTTTTTTTTTCTCTTTGTACTTGTGACTTCCATTCTTGTATTGCCAATTTAGTAAATGTGAGGTTATTTAAATTTTACATGGAATTCAAGTTGCTCTTCTAAGGACTATGATACACTTGCTTTCTCTTGCACTTGATTTACTTTTTTCAGAGTATTGATACAAGTGATAAATAATTGCTGTCATCCAACTTACATTGTGTGCCAGTCCCAATATTGCGTTATAAGTATAAAGAAAAGGAAACAGGTTTTAATAATACAGAATATCAGGTAACAGAGGCATGATTTGGGAATACACAAGCTGCCTTGAAAAAAATCTTGCAACTGCGCAATTTGAGCTCCTGTACATCTGCCCTTATTTGGAGTTTTATACTAATTCCATCAAAGTTAACTTTTTCCTTTCAAGCAGAGGGTATTGTGTTCCATTACAGTTAAATTGCTTGGGCAGTTACTGTGAGACCATCTTGAAAAAGGGGCCTTGAGCTTTCAGTAGAAACTTATTCTTCCTGGTCTCTTGCTGCTGTTGGTAAATGCAACTAATTAGCAGCCTACCTTTAGAAAATTCAACCATTTCAGTCACACATAAAACTATGGCAGATCTGCATGGAAGTGTAAACTCTGTTGTGCCTTTTGATCCTTCTGCAGTGTGTGTCTGTGTTGCTATTCCCAGCACCTTGCTTTTCCTTGTGCCTAGACACAGCTTTCTGCTGTTGCTGGATCATCTGCATTTCTGTTGGGTTTCCCCTGTGATTCTGCTCACAGGCTCCACCTTTCTCTTTCTCTTCACACCGAGGGCACTTTACTCCTCACAACACACTCTTCACTGCCTGTCTACTTGCTTGTCCTGCAGTGAGCAACTGTGGCAGTGCAAGCAGGAGAAGGGTGGCGTGTTCTGTGCATGCTAAATGTTCAGATCTGTTGCAAAAACATTTCTGAGCTGGCATTATCTCTCCTGTGTCCATCTTGACCTGTTGGGACTCCTACTGGGGTAATCTTGGTCATGGTGGATGGATTTTTTGGTCTTGAAGCAACTGTCTTAAATGCATAAAGAATAGAATCGCAGTTTCCAAGAACAGGGACTTTCCTGCCTGTGTGCAGGGCACCGTGTCTAGAGTTGTGCTCTGCAGTTTGGACACTGAGGGCCCTGGGGGCTGCATTTGGGTTGGGAAGTACGTGTGTGCTCCCACTTGTTGCAGTTGTGGGCCGAGCTGAGGCTGTGAGTCAGCTGCTGCTCAGAAGGGTTATCTGGGCAGATGTCCTGCACAGGAGGGAGCGGGATGGGTCAGAGCTTCTGAAGGTTTTCAGTTTCATAGCAAGGGCCTGTCAGGGCCTTCTGTCTGGCAGGGGTAGGTGCTTCCATGCAATGTGTTCTCTAAGCATGACAATACCAGCAGCATTTCCTCCTCTCCTCTCGCCTTAGACAAATTAATCAAACTCACAGTGATGTTTCTGCCCCATACCAGAGAGGCCCAAGACCCCTCTAATCATGCAGGGGGCTGTAGCAAAGAGTATCAGAAAGATTCCAGCGCTATAACACCACGCAGTATTTTCCTTCATGGCTGAAGTGGCTGCTGGCCCAGGCTGGGTCGAGGCCCCGGGCTGCGGTTTGGTGGGAAGGGTCTCCCAGCCCAAGCGGCGTGGGGGCGTGGGGGGGTTAACACGTGTGGAGCAGGAGGACTTGTTAATGGCTTTTGGTATAGTCCTTTGAATGGGGCACAATTAACTGTGTGTTGGGCTAGTTACAAACTATGCAAAGCCACCTCCTCAGGAGTGCTACAGAAGCCTTTGCTTGTAAGGAAGTATGCCAGATAGATAGGGTTTTGACTGAATGTTCTCTTTTTTTCTGATTTCATCTGAATTCTGCTTGAAGGATGGGGTGGCTGCCAGTCTCACCCCAGCACTGATTGCTGGTGCACCTCATGTTTTCTTAGGCATTTATTTGGTTCCAGTCTTTTTCTGCTTTATTTTCCTTTTCCTTCCTATCTCACTGTTCTTTGATCTTACATTCCCCACTTCTGATGCTATTACTTCATCTGTACATGTTCTGGTGAGAATAAGCAACGTAACCTGAACTGTTCAGCCTAGAACTGGCTGAAGGGCAGGGCTCAAAGGGTTGTGGTAATTTGGGCTACATCTGGCTGGGGACTGCTCACCAGCAATGTTCTTCAGGGTTCAGTTCTAGAGCCAGTTCTGCTCAGTATATTTTTCAGAGATCTGGGAGGTGCTGTTGACTCTCTTGAGGGACAAGAGGCCTTGCAGAGGGATCTATATGATAGATTGGAGCACTGGGCAACAATTAACGGGATGAAACTTAACAAGTCTAAATGCTGGATTCTGCACCTAGGATGGAGTAAAGCCAGGCACAAGTGTAAAGTGGGAGAAGAGTGCCTGGAGAGCAGCCCTGCAGAAAGGGACCTGGGGGTGCTGGTCAGCAGCAGGCTCAATATGAATCAGGAGCGTGCCCTGGCAGCCCAAGGGCCAAATCTCATTCTGGGGTGCATCGAAAACCAGCTGATCAAAAGAGGTGATTATCCCGCTGTATTCAGAGTTGGTGCGGCCTCACCTGGAGTACTGTGTGCAGTTCTGGGCCCCACAATTTAGGAAGGATGTGAAGGTCCTTGAATGCATCCAGAGGAGGGCAGGAAAGCCGGTGAAAGGGCTGGAGGTCATGTCCTGTGAGGAGCGGCTGAGGACTTTGGACTTGTCTAGTTTGGAGAGGAGGCTGAGGGGCGACCTCATTGCTCTCTGCAGCTTCCTGAGGTGCTGGTCTCTTCTCCCTGGGTATCCAGTGACAGGATGTGTGGGAATGGTTCAAAGCTGTGCCAGGGGATGTTTAGACTGGACCTTAGGGACCATTTCTTTACCGAGGAGGTGGTCAAACACTGGGACAGGCTTCCTAGCAAGATGGTCGATTGCCCAAGCCTGTCAGTGTTTAAGAGGCATTTGGGTGATGCCCTTAACGACATTCTTTAACTTTGGTCAGCCCTGAAGTTGGACTAGATGATTGCTGTAGGTCCCTTTCAACTGAAAGAGTCTATTCTATTCCATTCCATTCCCCAGGAATTAGGGCACTGAATGAGCAACCAAGACCAGTAAGAACTGTATTGGCAGAACTTCTATGCTTTGTACCACAAAGCCTAGGTAACAGTGCTTGACACCAAAAATAAACACTTAAAATACACATGCAAGCTTGACTGAGGAGCCAGAAACTGCAGTTTTAAAGGTCCTGGAGGAGAGAGCAAAAATTTTGGCTTACAGTGCTGCTGTGTTCACTGGAAAGTGAAAGAGCATCAAGACATCACACAACAGGTAGGCTTTATTTGGACATATCTGCAGTTGTTTTCCATCACAGTTTTCTTCATGTTCCTGGATGTCCCTCTCTCACTATCCATGTATATATGTATACACATGCAGTCATAAAGCATTCTCTCAAATGTGCTCTTTGCTGAAAAATATAGTAATGTTCCTTTTTTTCACAATCAAGACAGCGAAATGGATAAATGCCAAAACCTGCTTATGTAGTAACATGTTACAAGATGTTCTTTGAAGTCTCCCATATACAAAGAATTGGCAGAGCTGTTCTGCATCTCGTCTCAAGTCTGCAGGGTACATTGCAAGAGGGTTGTTGGCTCACGTGCAAGTCTGGCTTGTGATGACAGGACACAGCCCCCAGGTATTCCTGCTAACTTTACAATTTGAACTCTGTGCCATTATCTGGGAGCAACTAGCAGCCAAAGCGTACCTGCTGATCAGCTCTCAGTGGAGCGCACATTCATCCTGTCTCCAACCTGAGACTGTAAATGTAGTTTTGGTGGAATATATCCGTATCCACTACTGTGCTGTAACATAAGGATTTACTTACTCAGTAGATGAAACACACTTCCAAATGCATGATGTATCCTTGGGAAACAATTTAATCCTGATTTGAATCTCTTGGTTGCAGCTGTGGAGCCCTTTACCTTGCATTCCCAGTGCATTTTAAAACTGCAGTGGGTGGCAATGGGCATTTTGTTTCAAGTTGCCTTCCTATGCTTTCCACTTAGCTTGTTCTAGTTCTTTGACTATTTATAATTCTTCTTGAATAGCTGGTTGGCTTCACCAAGCTGACTAGTCTCAGAAAAAAATGCACAAAATTGCTGCAAGTAACCTGGTGTACATTCAAAGGTGGAATAGCACAGAAAATCCCCATTGCTTTGAGTGGTCAGTATAGACATGTCTCTACTGTCTCTGAAGTCTTAATAGCAAATTAAAATAATGAGGTAGTTTTTTTTACATGTTTTGTGGGGAAAATTGGCATTTCTGTTCTGCTCCAAGCTTTCCTGGGGATAAGGCTATGTTGCTTTGTTGCCTTTCTTCATACCTGCTCTAGGATACACTTTCCATGTTTGGCCAGAGCAGTCTCTCCGGCTGCTGGCACGCTGGCTTGTCGTCAGGTGTTCTGCTGCTAATGACCAGGCTATGGGAGTGTGTCTGTCTGACAAGTGATGCTGCCTTGGCTACCCCTCTGGTTTTGATACGTGGACAGTCCCTGAGAAACCACTGTGCCTGGTGCCTGGCTAAGGGGCTGCCAGACACATATCTGTACAGCTTCACCTGGTATGGTTTGGTTTTCTTCCTGTTTTGATGTCAAATGGGAGCACCTGGCACAACAGATACTGTTTTGCCTAAGAATCTTGCAATCCTCATACACTCTATTACAAAGCTAACTACAAAGCAGATCTAAAAGGCAGCACTGTGATTTATGAAACAGGCAGCATACCTGCCTTAGAGCTCCCACCTACAACATTTTTATTTTTGTTAAGGCTTTCTTGGTTAATGGATGCTTCCTATTTGAGCTTGTGAATGCCCTTGGGTGGGGTAGTCAAATCATGGACCCACAGTGTGAAATGTTCCTTTCAGTGCAGGTATTTCCTTGTTCTGTTGCTGATTCTCACCAAAGATGTAAAGGTGCTGTCAGTGGGTTCAGGGTATTCTGGAGCAGGGATCTGGCTCTTTCCTTTGAAGCTGGGCTGTTCTCTGTGGAGCAAATCCTCAGCAGGCCCATGAATGCATCTGTGCTTGCATTTATTCCAGCTGCTGCTTTAATGAATGTTTTACCTAAGCACTCACTGGAGCAGAGACTGGAACTCAGGTTCTTTCTTCCCTTTGCTATTCAGGGACTACAGCATTGTGGTCTTCCCAGCTGGGTGAATATTCCACCTTGTAAGCTCCAGGAAAATATCCTCCTCAGGAGGAACTGAGCCACCTACCCTGATTACAGCAATTACCAAGGAAGTGGAAATTAAGGGTCAAGTCTCCCTCAACAAAGGCAGGAATCTAAGACAGAGGTTTCTTGTCAAAGGTCATAGCTTTAGCCACTGCACTGCTAGAGATTGTGGATGGGAAACTATCCCTAAAAGCTCTAAAAAGTGTCCTCAAAATATGCCGCTGAGACTGGGCCCTGCTGTGACATAGTTTAGAAAATGCTTTATACCTGTGTACAAACATCAGTTACGCTGCTGCGCTGTGAGGGCTTGTACAATCTCAGCATCGGCAGCAGCTCCTGGGTGCAAGGAGAGGCTTTCTGGTAGAAGATGACCCCGTCCCATTAGTGGAACTGGGCATGTGAAGATCTGTGGATTAGATTTTGAAATCTACCGGAGCGGTTAGGTAAGAATTAGATGATACAATTTTTGCAACTCTAGCACTAAACTTGCACTGCCAATTCTTAAAAATGTCTCACTTGGAGGGGGAAAAAAACCCAAACCCGTTGTGTTTGCCAGATAGGTCTCCCTAAGCACTCATCTCATTTTGTTTGTTTCCATGAGTCATTTTTAGAACAGGCAACAATAATCTAACAATACTTGAGTCACACATAGTCTGGAGCCAACTTCTTAGAGAACACAGCTTTCTTGAGGTAAGTGAAAAATATCCTAAAAGGAAAAGTGCCTCTCTGGCTTTTATACATAAGAAATCATGTTTTAAAAAAAGTGGTTGATGTAATTGGCTGTTGAAAACACAGAAACAATCTTTCCTCTCTGCCCCTTCAATTTTGAGACCTAGAAAGGCATGGGACAGAAAGGGGCTATGAACTAAGCCCCCTTGAAAAAGTATGTGGTTGCTAACTGCATGCTAACGCATCACACTCCAGCACAGCTCAAGACAAATATACAGGGAAATGAGACGGGGGGTGGCTCCCTTTATCGAGCTGTGAAATGCAAGTTCACTGTACATCTTTGGCTACTGACTAACAGCTGTTCAGAGAAACAGCCTTCCTGCTACAAAACACATCCAGTCCTGGCTTCTGCATATCAGTAACACGATCATTTCTGAAAATGAGGTACCAAGAGATCTTCCTAAACCAGGTGCTTTAAAACTCCACTCAATTTCCTTCCTGTGCTCACAATTCTAGCACAGGGATTGACTCAAGAGTTCCTCTGTGCAGAGAAAGCTTTTTTTGCCTGCTTTTCTCACAAGCAGTTCAACTTCCAGGATGCAAGTTTGTTGTGGGAAGGCCCCATCTCATTGCCTGGAAACAGAGTTATTAGTGAGTATCTATTCCAAAACCAGCAAAAGCATAAATTTTCATCTGACCTCCTCAGATGGGAAGGGCTTCAGCTAAACCACACTGTGCTGCTTACAGCACAGGGAATTCTTCCTTCACCTAAAGGAATTGTTTGTTCTGAGGCTATAAACAGCTGTTCTGCATTTGTAAGAAGGAAAACACACTACACAAACCACTATGATAAATACAACTCTACGAGGCGTGAACAGACGATTAAAAAGGTAAGTTTATATAAGAAGCTATAGATGACAGTGTAATAGCACTGCTCTCAGTGGATTTTGTTTTCAGCCATGAAAGAGATAAAAATGCTAACTCCAAAGAGCCAAAACATCATTTTTGTTACCTCCACTAAGAAGTGGCTAGAATGAGAAATAAAATACTGTTGCTCCAAATGTGTTTAACTGTTTAAGCTAGTTGCTTCATCTATATAAACAGATGCTGAATATTAAAACAAACCTCACTCAAAAGCACTCAAACTGCAGGAGGCTGTTACAGCACAGTGCAGATGGTTGGTTTGTATGTTTGACAGTACTGGCTAATAATATTTTCCTATTATCAACAATTTTTTCTCTGATTTGTTTTCTACAGTGCAACAAAGACAAAATTTCCTTTTTAATGCAAATACTGTAGGACTGCCAGAAACAAACTTTGGAAAATTTTTTGAACTTCAAAATTACAGTTGTTCTAGCTAAGCACAGACAGTTGAGATTTTTCTGACCCGTTTTACTCATTTCAAACATCAAGCTTTAATCTCAAGGGCATCATGCTTAAGTGATCATCTTTTTTACTGTTATCAATTGAAAATAACTGTTCTAAATCTTTCCATAGTAGCAACTGCACCTTACACTCATGTCTGCCTAGTGGAAAGCTGTGGCAAGGTTAAGTTTCTGCCTGCACAGCTGCTTCCATTTGACTGGAATGAGTCACTCATCTTTGTCTCTTAGCACTGTTTGGCCCTTAAGCGAAGAAAGAAAACTGATGCAGATAAGTATCGTTTTGCTTTGCACCACCATAGTGAGCAATTGCTTTGAACAAACTGTGCAAATGCACTTGACCCAACTTGTTAAGTAACACGAGGACTAAGAAGTCATCAACCATGTCCAATACAACCTCGCCTTCTTGACCCCTACTTTACTGAAAACATGAAAATAGGTGACGACAACTGTAAACTTCAGTGAAGATGTAAACTTTGACAGACTAGGGACAATTTGATAAACTAGGGAGAAGACTGCAAAGGCAATTTAATAGGGAATAGCAAGAACACAGTGGAAAAGTATCTATTGAGAACATATTTGTTGTTTAAGAGTTGTTCTGCTTGTACAAGTAAACAAGGGCTTGGGAAGGAGTTATTTTAGCTACAGAAACATGTCTTTTGTAGCTACCTCTGGAAGCAGGGGACAAGGAAAAGGTCTCAGTACAGACTATAAACCCATCACTGAAATCAAATATATAAACTGAATATATTAAAGCTTTAAATTTTATTACACTTAATTTCTTCTGAATATCTTACCCTTCTCTCCTGTTCAAGGTAAACCTAAACATGAGAAATGGAAGGATAAAGGAGAACTCCACTAAACGTGGAGTACATTTCGTCAGAGTCTGTGTAGGCCAGTTTGCCTCCTGTTACGACGACATTTACTTCATCTCCTGCTTTGAGGTGAAGAACAAGGTGGAACGTCCCGGGACCACCACAGGTCCGTTTCCCCGAGTAGGGTTTGTGATACTCCAGCAGTTCTCTCCTGTACCCAGCTGTGTGGAGCTGAGCCACGCTTGCGTTGGAAACAGACAGCACTGCTTCTACATACTCGTCCCTCTCTGGGGCCAGCACAGCAGTGATCAGGTAGCGCCCTTCATACGGTGACGTGAAAATGCCTGCAGAAGAGAGACAGACTGAGCTTTTCAAAGTTATTAAAAATGGAGAGACCTGATCGCTCTAAGCATGATGATAAACATAACATGGGTTAGCCGTTGCTATGTACAGATAACTGTGACAAGGTCAGCCTGGGCTGCTGACCAACTGTCAGCAGTCATGAAGGCAAAGGGTTGCTGCTTTTGTGTTGGAGCCTGCCAGTCCTTCAGGACCTATGCAGGTCTTGTCCACATTCAGAAACCTCCTGGCCTAAGCAGCTGCCATCACTCAGAGCTGGGTGAAGAGGTGAGAGGCACCCACAAGCCGTGCAAGTCCCCAGGAGGTTAAGGCATGTCTAACATCCTCAAATGACATGACACTGCTTGAGAAGGAGGTAGCCTGCAGTTACTGCTGCTGGGGAGGCACAAGCAGCTGTGCTGGCAGAGCAGACGCAGTGGTGAGCTGGACCTCAGTATTACAGGGCAGTTGTGGAAAACTGGCAGTGGCAAAATGCGTGCCTGTCCACATCCACAGGAAGCTTCTACCCTGGTGTGTCTGGTTTAGATGGATTTACTTTGTTTGTTCAATATGCCAGCAAGGCCTGAGATAGCATCAAACACTGGTAACCCATGCTGCTGCCTGTCTGCCATCTCTGTGGGTCTATTCTTTGGTTATTACCTGTATCAGGGTTATAATAGTCCCCATCATTCACAAGCACTTTGTTAAAGTGAACGACACCAACGTCACTGGAGAAAGGCTTCTGTGTGAGCCCAGCAGAAAATGACACCAGAGAGGCCGCGGCGGCAGCAGGTCCTAAAATGGGTAACAACATGAGTCAGAATCACATCAGGATGACAACACAGCCTCTCCTTGTGATGGTTTACAATCCAGTCTCTCTGTTCCTGCACATACTCCACTTGAACTAACGCTGTCACTTGAGGAATGCCAGAATTAGCAGAATACGTATTGCTGGCCCAGGTCCCAGGTGTCTCACCATAAAATTTACTGAGCACCATAAAATTTCCCCCTTGGCCACAGCCTTCTAAGGAAAAGGTACGTGGCTTGTCAATGCTGGCACCTCTCAATTCACCAGTGCTTCTGCCATGGACCCTCTTCAGGACTGAGGCTGCCCTTAGACATCTCCCGCTCTATGTCACTATCACAATGGCAACAGGAGTGCTAAAGGTATATAGCTCATGCCAGCTTTCCTACTCACACTGAGAAGCTGCACACAGCTTGGATCTCTTACCTTCTCCACCTGAAGGGTACTGAAAATAGCTATGAGAAGTAACACTTTGGTATTAAAGCAGAAAGAACCATCACTGGGGCTTTTCTCCCTCTGTGGCACTTCTCTTATGGGGGACTTCTCACTCCATGTTTTTTTTCTTCTTTTCTCAGCAGATCAAACAGACACTTAGTTATTTTATAGTGGCTATCTGCTTACTGGCTAAACACTGCTCTCAGACTAGTGTTGGATAAAAAACAATTTGGACAATTAAGACAAATTTTTACTTTTAACAGACTGGTTTAATGGCATGTGTTTAGTGATCGACCACTTATTAGTCCCATTTTAGATTCCTTCCCTCTAAACATTTCCCCTAAGGCAGGACACACTTCTAGAACTAGTCAACGCTTGTTGACTTTGTTCGGGCAACTAGGTAAACAACAAATACACTTAACGTTGTCCTTATTTGATCTTTCTGTTCCACCCTGTTCAGGTTAAGATCCATGTCTTCTCCACATTGTTTCACACTGGGTCCTTCTTCTGCCTTCCTTAAAATAAATGTTTGGTTTTCTCTTTCTCTCAATCTGAGATGCCCGTCAGCAACCAATGTTCACTTCAGATTGTATCACTTAAAATTTTAAGTTAAAAAGTGTCAAAACTTCATCTAAAATGTACATATACAAATGCCCTGCTATTATTTTTTTGTGTGTGAGTAATTTGGCATGGGGGGCTAGGAGGGGAAGACATGCCTGCAACTTCAGAGATGGCAAGTAACTACCTTGATTTCCCTCAGGGGCTAGTAACCATCTACCTCATGTACCTCTGGAAATCTCCTTATTCAGTGTTTTGTCTCATGCTCAGAAAACAGACAAGAGGCCCTTTTTCATTACTCCTACCTGCCAGTGTGCCTGCAAGTGCTCCTGTAAGCTAAAATGAGGTTATTTGAAAGGACCAAAATTAATTGCAGGAAGTCTAATTAAGCAGCTTCTGTAAAGCTCTACCATCTTAATACCACACTACTTACAGAAAGCATCTCTGTATTCTCAGCTTACCTTGAGACACAAATCAACTGAAAATGTACCTCAAACTTCTTGTTGGCTCACTTGTAAAGGTTTCTCTGCCCTGCAGTCATACTGCACAGACAGTACGGCACAAACTATCTGCTGCCAGCCCAGAAACGCTGTCCTCTCCATTTAGAGTAGCTACAGTTCTGTTCGGGTTGGTGTCATCTGACTAAGGGAGCGACTCCTGCCCTGGCTTGCCATGGTTTCCTTCAAGATTTTCCCATACAGATTGCTAGAATAGTTATTGGAGTTTGCTGCTGAAATTGCTTCAGAGCTGCAGCCTAGTTTAACACACCATCTGTGTTTGTCCAAATGAGAAATCTTAAACCCAACTAAATATCCTGCAGATCAGCTCAGTGGGCACTATGAGGAGGTGTGGTAAAGATTCAGTATGTCTCTGCTCTCTTATCCTCCTCCCTGCTTCCAGCTAGAACTCTGCCTGTTTGTTCGAAGCTTTCACAAGTCCTACCAACAGCTCACAGCAGTGCTTCTGCAGAACCTTACAGAGAGGTGAATCACCTTCTCTTGTATGTCCCCACTTGCAAACACTTTTCCTCATGCAAAGATCCAAGTCTAGTTTCTCTAGGCAAGGTCCAGGCTTGGAAACTGCTTTCACTTAAGCAGTTAGTGTTGTGGAATTATAAAAATTAGGAAGAAAAGTTTTAGAGCATTTAAAAGCTGGGAACTGATGAAGAAACTGCTACACAGACAAAAAGTTTCACAAAAGATTCAACCACAGTTTTACAGCTTCTAGGGAATAAAGAATTCTTTGACTTTAGATGTATACAAGGAAGTTTCACTTGATATATATATATCTATATATCTATATATCTATATCTATATATATATATATATCTATATATATATATCTATCTCTATGTAAGCAAGAGCAGGTATGTATGTTCATGGCAATCTAAGCTAATATAATGCATTCTGGGAAGTCAAAAGACCACAGAAGGTACATGGGTGGCCTTTGTTAGGTTACATCTACTTCCAACCATCTGCTAGTTGTATTTCTGGTTCTCCACCTCTCTTTTGACTTCCCAGCACAGTTCATGCCTCCCACAGAGCCCAAGGGCCAGAAGGAGAAAAAGAAGAAGAAAAAAAAAAATCATGCAGAACAAAACAGTGCACAGCACAGGCACTCTCCATCAAGATGAAAGGAGAAAAAAATAAGAGTGTGATGGTGCTGCTGACAATTGCTCAGCAACTGGAATGAGGACTCTTCAAGAATCTACTCAGAAGAGTATAAGAGAGTAAGTATGTAATTAGTTTGTCAGTATGCACTTATGACTCCTTTCCATATGGCAGAAGTAGGCAGGAGATGTCAGATATCCTCTGTTTGGCCAGTACTCCTAAATCTAAATAAGGCCAAAGTGCATAATTTCAGTTAGAACAAATGGGACAAAAATAAAGCAATTTATCACCTCCATGCTTTTTCTGCCTTTTTTTTAAAAAAAACCCTCAACTCTTCAGTTTGACCCTAACACATCTCATTTTCAGGAGCATTCCCTCTGTTTATGGGATGGCCAAGCAGCACAGCACAGTGCCACACTGATTTCCATGAGACAGTGCTCAGCGAAGCTGGGCCCATTAGCTCTGCTAAGTCACTGTGTTTCTGATGTGGATGATAACTCAGTGTGTTATGCAAACACAGCTACTTTTCTCTTGAGTCTGTTAGTAACAGCCCTTTCTGCTCTTACAAATCCTACCTTTCACACTGCAGCAAGAGGTTTGCCCTAGCACCTATCTACCTACTGCTCCTTACACAAATACCCATCTCCTACCCCATCCTTCTGTTAATTGCCCCGTTCTTTGATGCAAACAGCAGCAAAACACAACCACTGGTGCAACTGTGGGTGATACCATCTTCTTTACCTCAAAGTCAGCAAACATGCTTTCCCCTGTGCTAGACCGCTGATGTGTACTAACAAGAATACTGCTCCCTGTCCAGGGATCAAAAGAAAGAGCTAAACAGGCAGCAGAACCTGTCACAAGCACAGCACAGTAATTTATGTACTCAGTAAACCCTTCAAATCAAGAACCACCTATAACAACATAAATCTTACATTACAATAACATCGTGCCTTTATAATGAAACATGTCCTGCAGGCTTGCTGCCTGGAGTCACATGGAGAAAGTAAAGATGGTTGGGTATCAGACAAGTAAAAAGAATTAAAAAGCCCAAACCAAAATCTTGGTGCAGCCCTTTATCTGCACGGATATATAGAGCAGCATTTGCACAGTGGTAAGGCCTCACAAGCACAGCTGTTTTCTTTATTACACCATGCAAGGAGTTTCTTTTAGAGAGGAGCAAGCACTCTCCATTGAAGCTGCAGGGTTAAGGACAGAAGTAACACTGCAGACTGCATGAAGGGGGAGGGCAGGAAAGGCAATTTGTGCTTTCAGTGAATTTTTTTCACTGTGACCCTCTGTATGCCGATCAGAATGTCCAGATCCTCTTCTTGGCTCTGTCCTTGCCTAGTTGTGTGATCTAGGATCTTACAAGCATTTTCTCATCAGTTCCCAGACCAGTTCATCAGCCAATTCATTACTTCTGCCTCTGCAATTTTCTTTGCTCCAGCAAACAAAAATTCTCATAACTGTAAAACTGCCATGCTTCAGTAACATTTGCTGCTGGTGTTTTGACATTGGTTCAACTCTTTCTATGGTAAAAGGTATTAGGTAGATGCACTTAGGACCTGACACTTAATGCACTTTTGTCATAAACTCATTGCATGTGAAAAGAGAGCTAATGTGTGGTATTGTACCTTGTACTGTCTCATTAATACTTGTAAATCCTTGAAGATCAACGTTATATTGTGAGATGCATGCAGACAGATAGCTAATGAATCTGAAAGAACTCAAGAAATACTTTGGTATTGAAAGTATGCAAATCGTGCCTTAACAGTCAAGAAGAGCACTAAAGCAGGCTAGTTTAATCCCTGAGGACAGAGTTGGAGCCCTCAACTTCTTCCTGAGCAGTGCTTTTATATAACTCCAGCTATTCAGAAACAGAAATGAAAGGGAGTACTCAGAAGGCCAATTTAATAGTACAAGCTGCTTATTTTAGGAATTCTAGTACAAGAAGGTCTGATCTTTCAAATTTGAATTTCAGTACCACAAAATGTACTGGGTGAAGACTGACAAAGACATCATAAACTGTGGTCCCGCACAAATTAGATATCAAGGATTCCTTGATGCCTTATTTCAGCATTAAGTTCATCCTCCAATAAGCCAAAAATCTTCCCTTCTCCAGTTGTTAATTTCCTCACCACTGTTAACTGCTCAATTCTGCCCCAGAACACTCCCTTTCTTTGCTGTTTATAAGTGGACACTGATGATTAGGGACAGTAGTTGTAAATATTCTAACTCCATAGAAGTTCAATAGCTATTTGCACCATCCTTACCTCTCTGTTTTCTATGACTGTACCTGCCATCGGGGTTTGGAAGGCATTTTGGGGGAAGTTATAGAACAGATCAGCAAGTATGTCTTATATTTAGGTAGGTCTTCAGGGGCACAGATCAGGAAAAGGAACTTCTTGGTCAAGCCCACCTCTCGCTGGATCTCAGGGTGACAACGTTTCTTGCAACATGTTCCACCAAGCAGCAAACAGGCACACTGCCTGCTACAGCCTGCCTTTTCAAGACTTTTAACATCCACCTACTGATTCACACAGTTTTAGCATAAACTTATTAAAATACTGTTGTCTATAAGTGATAGTAGATTGTACAAAGTGGAAAAAAAACCCCAGGAAATCCATTTATCATCAAAATCTAGACATCTATATTGGCTTTGCTAGCATCAAGATAAAGGAACATTTCTTTACTTCTTATCCTCTTCCAGAAGCCTCATCTATTACTGCTTGTTCCTACCACCACAATCCTCAAATGCAAAAAAGATTGCTTTAAGGCTATGACAGATTTTTAATTAGAAAGTATAAATATCAGAATTACGGTGTGAACTCTTTACAACTCTTTTTGTCAGTCCCCAGACTAGTCTTCAGGACATGTGTCTGTGATTTTGTTAGGGCCATCAAACTAAGTCCCAAGGGTAGGATTTTGGATGCCATAAAGCCCTCATGTTTTATTTTAATCTATTTCTCATATTTCCTCAAACAAATTTAGATGAAATCATTCTTTTTGAAAAGGGTGTGGGGATATTCACTCTGATCCAGGATACCATTCCCCGGGGTTTGATAATATCTTGAGTATGAGGTTGTAGGGCAGGCAGCATCCAATCAACCTAATTTGTCATGGCCAACTAGCATGCCCCACACAAAATTTATACCTGTTTATCACACAAATCCCTAAATGAACTGTAATATTAAGAATTATAAAAAATAAAAAATCCCCACCGAACCAAGAAAACTGCATTTTGAATTTTTTTAAACCATGGTTCAGTGGCAGCCCTCCTGCTTTCACTGAAGTCAGGAACACAAGCCCTTGTGATTCTAACAAAGCCAGAAACTCTCCCACAAGGAGGACTAACTCATGCACTAGCTCAGATACTAACAATGCTTCTAGATTTTAGTCTTGGCCTTATCCATATCTTATTAAAGAAATATTAATCAGAAAGAAACATATATTTTCTATTTTAAAAGGGGAAAAAAAAAGTCATTACTGATATTTGCTAGGACATAGAAACCCTTTGTATTTAAATAAACCCAAACACTGAATTAAGTAACAATAACCCAAAATGAATTGTTTTTCAAAACCTCAAAACACCCATATTTTCAAAGGATGCAATCTGTCTGATTTTCCTCAATGCTAAACTTAAATACTGAAAATCAACACTTTGTTCTCTCAACCATGACTTTCTAAGGATTGAAATAAACATTAAATACCTCTGTAAAGAATTTCTAGGAGACAGTTGCCTTACCTTGTGAGTCTGTGGTAGGAGGAGATAACTTTGGATATCCTACAAAGAAAAGGTAGTATGTGTTACACAGTACATAATGGAGTACATTATGACAAAATATCGCTGCAGTCTTCTAAAAAGCACCCTTTGTTACCAAACAGGAACCTACCAAAATAGCTACCAAATAGCATCTCCTATGTAATGCTCAATTATCATTAAGCTGGGGTGGCCACAGCAAAGAAAAATCAAATTTTTACTACAGTGTACTAAATCCACTGCAAGCGCTGTGGCAAAAAAAAAAAAAAAAAAAGTTTCCCTAATGGCAAAGACTGCAGTAGTTACCAAGGATTTTACATCAGCCCTGGTGACCTCATGCTTTGTGCAGCCTTGGCAAAAGCAACAAAACTGGCACTGAATGTGTTTTCCCTACTTCTGGAGCCAGCTGGAGGCTGCAAAGGCCCATTCACAAATCACCTCTGCCGTAAGCCCATTCCCAACGGCAACAGCTCTAATGGGCATCCATGAAAGGCTGAAAGGTGGCTGGTAAAGCGCAACAGATCTCAGTGTCACCCCTCCAGCAAGACCTAGAATGGCTACTGCACTTAGACAGGAGTGATTCACTAGTAGTTTGCTTCGCTCACCTGGTGCTCCGGCAAACCCTTCAGCGATGGGCATGGTACTTTGCCCAGCCTGACCATCCACACTCCTAAGCCGCCCTCTTCCTGACATTAAAACAGTTCCAGGAGGCCCTGCTTCTCCAGTCTCCAAGATGATCCCGGTTGTTCCAGGCAGAAATGGCGCAACTCCTGACCCTGGCAGTGCTGGACGTGGAAGAGGTCTTGGCTGCAGTGGCTGCAGGGGGGTCCTCTGTCGTGGCGGTTGTATCCTCGGCCTTGATGGCAGCAGGGATATGCCAGGGTGGGGCTGCAGAGGTGGTCTTGGTGGCAACGGCTGCTGTGGTACTTCTGATCGCCCTTTGAAATGATGAAAGAAGAGGAAAGATACAGAATTATCCACCTAAAGTACTATATAAAATTGCATATTTTTGTCAAATACCCCCCACCCCCAAAACTTTAAAATAAAACAGGACTCAGTTTGAGGCCACCTTTCCCTTCAGACCCAAGGCTGCACTGGCAAAACTCCATTGGACTCCTGCAGTACTACAGACTCCCCTCTTTCCCAGCCTGTGACACCGGGAAAAGCATGAATACCACCTGGAGACAGAACAAGCAGCAGTCAAATAACCTGTGAACATTCACCTGCTAGTCCAGCTTTGACTTTCTGCAGTGTATCACACCTATTCCCACAGCAAAAAAACCTGATTAAATGAACACCAACGTACAAGATTTTTTTCCCCTAATATGAAAAGCAACAAACTTAAAATTCCAAGTACTCCCATTACTAATATTTTCTGACAATGAAGGCAGAACCCTAGGATAGGATCTACCAGAAAAGCCTTTATTGTTTATAGAGAAGAGATACCATTAAAAAACTTTTCCAGTAGGACAGCCAACACATATGACATCAGGGTTGAACAGCACTGACATGGCTGTATTTGTGTATCTGGTCCAGTTCTGGGCCCTTTATAGGAACTACAGCTTATTCATAAAAATGAAGTCCTAGATGACATTTAAGGATGCAATCTCCTCTCAAGAATGAACTACATCTACATTTAGAACAGGAATTTACAAATGTGTAGATTTCAGCAGATGCAATGACAGCTTTTACAAAGAATAATTAGAATTTCATTCTAAATTAAACATTAGCATTGGTTATTTTGGTTACATTTTAAGACTAAAGCATGGCTTTAGGTGCAGGGATGGAAGTGAGTTTCTGGGGAAATGGACAAACAGCACCTTGCGAATTTGTCTAATGCAACTCATCACACCAGAGATGCTCACCATGGTCCACAGTGGAGATCACTTCTCTAAGGTCTCAGTGGTCAGAACGAAGCATTTTAATTCATCACAGCCCCAAATCAGCCTGACTGAATTCAGTAATAGCTAGGGATAAACTGAACAGCTGTGCTTAGAAGCAGATATAGTGTGGGGCTTCCCCTGGCTCTGCTACACATCTGGGGATCCCCAGGAGGGCCTTATGCTGCACCTTTGGGTGAGATCTTACAACCAAGTCATGCAGGTATTGTCCATGACATACAGCTGGGGTCCAGACGGTGTCACCACCAACCCACGTGATGTTTCATGACTACTTGACACCTGCACTTTACCCTTGTGAATCTCGTTTCATTCTCAGTCTCATAAAAAGTCCATGTAAGCCTTCCACAGTACCGAGAGGCTGTATGAAGTCATAGTCTCACACCACCTGCATATATTTACTAGATATGCTTGCTAGAAAAAAAATCTTCCTAAACTTTGCTGGCTGACTTTTAATTGTCGTGAGAATTGAAACAAGCAATGCACCACAAAGCTGGACTGAAGCTCACTCAGTAACTCTATCCACAAGGCAGAGGACTAATAAGTTAAATATTCGCTTTATGCAGATTAAAATCACCTTCATAAAAATCCCAGGATTAAAAAAAATCTTATAAAAATTTTCAAAAAAAAGCTGAAAGTATCCAAGTGAATTGTTTAACAAAGTTGTTAACTTAGTGAGACATCTTCTGTCCACAGTGGCATAGATTTAGACCTTCAACTAAAATCTTCAGATTAAACTCATTCAAAACACAAATTAACAAAATACTTTGCCTTGGGATGCATGTACTTGTCACTAGTCAATTAAGCTGAGCTTTATTAAGACAACAATTTGGGCTGACACAGGGAAAATAAATATATTTCTCTGCTTCCTTTTCTAAACCTTTAAGTAACAATCAACAGCTCAAATCCCGTATCCTGTACAAACTGCTTCCTTGCATGCAATGTCAATACTGCAATATTCAGAATTATTCAGCTACATCTTTATAAAGCTATATCCAGTATTACCTATCTAAAGCTCAACTGAAAGTGCCAGTAAACAGATACATGTGGGTTGAGAGGGATCCAGTCTGCCACCTTTGCCAACCTTTTTGGCCTCTTCTCACATGCATCATAACAAGATAAAGGACCAATAAATCAATAGATAAGGATAGTAACACTAGAGTCACCCTATCCTGATGCCGAATTCCATAACACGTTTTCAATTCATAAGACAATGAGAAAAGGAATGCCCAGCAAAGGCTGGGGTGAATCTAGCTGGACCTGCTTAAAGCTTTACTGAACTGCAGACAAACCAGAAATACTTCCCATCATCTTCCCATCTATCTGAGAAGGTAAAGTGCAGAGCTGAGACCATCACACAGCTGAGAACAGTAACACTGTCCTCAGCAGCAGCATCCTTGCTGCTCCAGTTGTCATCAGTGGTGTAAGTGACAGTTAGGTTACCATGTCACACAACAGCTTCTGCCCTTAGATGTCCATCCACAACTGAAAACAGAAGGAAAGGTTTCCCTCCCTGGCTGAAAACAAGAATGCTTTTGTTCCCCTCCCCATCTTAAAAATATTTTATTTTATTCAGTTTGTTCAGCCAGGCAGCTTTAACCTGCAGTTTACTTCACTGAAGGACGAATGATTTGCTGGGAAGGAAGATGAGCAGCAATCTGGATGCATTGAAGTGGGTAGATCTTCAGGGTACATCTGTTTCTAGTGCTGTTCTGCCCTGACCATTCTCTCCTCAGCCCCCAAAACACACAGAAACAAACTGCGAGTAAAGGAATCTGTGACTGCACTCACAAGAAGCCAAAACGACCTGATTTGAATTTTCTTATAGATACCAAAGGGATTTGACAATTAAGTTACAAAGCACCGTTTTGCACAAGCTCACAGGGAGCCTAGAGGAACTGACTATGCCCTTTATTGATGCTGTAATGCAGGACGTACATTTGGTTTCTTAGACCATAACTTCACCAGACAACATTTTGATATTGCTTTCAAAACCTTGCTACAGAGACCATTACCAGAGTAATTGCAGTTCAGGTCAAGTAACCGTAACCAAAGCAAACTGCACTCCCAGCATGGTATCTGGCTGCAAGACCACAATTCCGATTCCTGGAAACTTCATGAATCTGTGTGAATAGGCAGAGTACGTTAAAGAGACCACTAACTTTAACAAGGCTTTCAGTTTCATGCCATTTGAAAAGCAAACATACCTGCAGAGAGGCACACAGTGCAATGAGAACCAGTTATCCTACAAGGTGTGGAGCTGGGGGCAGTCAGCATTTAATGTGGATGAGAAGCTGATAGGTTACATTACCTTGGTGAGTTCGTTGCGTGTGGTCCCCTACACGCTTAGAGCAGACCACCACCTGCCGCTACCACTGCCTTGGGTATGGCAGGACGCTGCACTACGTTCACCAGAAATTATAAAAAATTAAATACATTTCTGGTCTCTGGGTCCATATCTGACATACAATCATTCACTAACCTGGCTTGTTAGTTTGGACTGAGGCACTTGAAACACTGTAATATAAAATTTGGAAGAAAAGATGGCCATATTCCTAAACTCAAGGACATTTGACTTTGCTCAGATTTACCGTGTGGTGGGCTTACACTGCTTGATAAGATTTTATATTGTATTTCTTGCAACATATGCCTGCCTTACTGCCCTCAACTACTGTTGCTAGTAACAACTTGTTTCTGTTTCGGCCCTTCTGAAGTCAAATTACATCATTTGAATGCTACGATATGCTGGCAAATAGTGCATAAGAAATTCTACACCAATCTACGGCCAGGACTGACAGTCTTCCCTTTCAAATAACATCGGTATCAAGAGACGGTGCTTCAGATCACGGATGTAAAAATAGTTAAAGCCATACCTCAACTCACATAACAGGGTTCCCAAACTACTTCCAAAAAAAGGCTCTTTTGCCAAAGTCTTTCTGCAACTCCAGCCATCAAAACTTACTTGGACTGCTGTGCCAGACAGTGTTGTTGTAATTGGAAACATTTGGGGACTGAAGTGAGTTCTCCATGAATCCCTCAGAGGCCAGAGGCACCCCAGAGCAGTGAGGGATGCCCAGAGTGTCTGCACCCCACCTCCAGCAGCAGTGTCCTTCCGTGGGCTCTTAACAACCAATGGTGGATGGAAAACTCTGACCTGACATGGCAATGTTTTAGGGAAACCCAGGCATGCTGAGGCTTTTTAATGCTTTGCAACATTCTAATAGGAGCTGATAAATACAACCCATGAGGCTACTCAAACATCTGCTTTAAACAGCAGAAGAAATATTACTGTGTGTATCTTGGACCCCCCTCCAATGTTGGTCCTTAGTGCAAATTTATTTTGGGCAAGATGGATGAAAAACAGCATTACATAGATACATCATACTGCATTTTAATGGGGACTGGGTCTGCTTCTGCAAGATCTAGGGGTGAAGGTTCTAATCCAGTTGAATTTAAGTCAAGAATTCACCAAAAGAATTATCTGAGGATTATGGACACACTCCATTCCCTTCCACTTCTTCCTTTAATAAACTTTTTTTTTTTTTTTTTTATTTCACACAAGAGCTTCTCAACTCAGAGAAGTCTGAAGGATTTTGTCAAGCACTGAAATACATTCGGTTTTAAAAAAACACTCAGAAGAAATACATCTATCACAGGCTTTCAAGTCTCTGCCTTGGAGAGAGAAGGATATTCTTCCCTAAGGAAATTACTTTCAGACCTTTCATGAAGCACAACTTGTCCATTCAAGCAAGAGCACTCATGGTCCTGCATCTGATCTCCCACCATCAGCTGCAACAGCCCAGAGGCTCTTCCCTCAGCACCTCTTCTTCTGATTTAAGGCCAGTCACAGAAATCAGCCTCTTATTTATCTCATACATGCACAGAATTAAAACCAGAAGCATCACAACCAACTGAAGTGTGCCGTTTCAAAACAATCTCCAATTCCTACGTTTTTACGTTATGCTAACAGAAACAAGAACTCAGCTTCCTTCTGTAAACTCTGACTCTCTCAGAAAAACAATACATTGCTGAAACTTGGAGCAAGAACTGCAGAGGCAACTGAGTGACATTTGGCAAGGTCTCTATGCCTTCATGGCAAGGTTCACCAACATGTTGAGGTTAGCAGCATTTTGAGCCAAAGGTAATGTGTCTCTGCTTCTCAGCCACTTTAACACAAACTTTAAACCACCTGTGGAGGTAGATTTGAACTAACATGTTGGACTACTAATAGAAGTAGCTGAGGTGTGAAAACACTGCCAGCTGGGGTGTGCACCTATTGCCAACTTGCCAACTACATTGTGGGAATGCAAACTTCTGGGAGAGCCATGAAGCAGAAGTCTTACGTTGCCACACCAAGATATGCCAGAGCTTGTTTGCGAAAGTCCTAACTCAAAGAGCTGGTGCGGAATTATAATCATTAATTCATGCTAAGAACAAAACTTACAGGGAATCATTCTTATCATAAATTTGAATTCCTTTGACTTCAGTTTTCTCCATTTCAATTTCCCCCGAGGAATCAAGAATAATCTCACACAACAACACAAACCAAAACGAAAAATAAAATCAAATGAACTGGAACAATATCTACAGATAATTATTACTTTAAACTCAGTATCCAAAAATATTAGTTTTTCCACTTTCTTTATTCTAGTTCAAGGTAAACATGAAAGCATATGACTTCTTTTTTTTTTTTTTAATTTTAGAATACTTTTAAAAGCATTCAAAGTCCTCTATGGCATTCTAGAGCAAACAGCCAAAATTAGAGTCACTGTAAAAACAAAGTTGAAATTGTGTAACATTAATTTTTTCCTCCCCGTTTAGCTCCTTTATAAATGATTCAGAAAAGAAAGCCAGCTGAAAAACAAACATAAAAAGCATTTAAAAAGCAAAAAACTTACTTGTGTCAGGCTGGGATTTCAGCATGCCTTCAATGTCTGTGGTGATTTTGGAGACCTGACTATTGAAATGTTGGACAGAATTTTTGAGGCCAGAAATATCAGTGGAATGAGATGCTATAGTTCCATTCATTTCACGGATGCAGTTCCATAAGCTGCTTACGTGCTTATTCAGACCTTCCTTTATCTTCTGCAAGCTACCTGAGACAGAGTCCAGCTTGCTGCAAACGTTTTCAACATGTGAGACTCTGCTCTCAATATCTGAAACACCCTCCTGGATACCTTGGGTCTTTTCTTTGCACTTGCTAAGATCATTCAGGATATGGTCATTCAAGTGTTCTAGTCTCTCTTTCACTTCACCACAGCAATTATCACTGGGATGAGCAGTTTGATTTGCAAATGTCCTCTGCATTTGATCAATTTTTCGGAAGACACCTCGCTGTGTTTTTCTACAGGTCGAATTGACACCCAGAAGCTGCTCCCTGCAGCTACTCAAGCCTTCCTGAAGATTTTTCATATCTTTATCCATAACATTTAGACTATACCGGAATACACGTATGTCTCTCTGCATTTTCTGGATGTCACGTTGGTTACCCTTAATTAAGTTGAGTTTCTCATTAAGAGAGCTATTTAGAGACTGCAGAAGAACAGAGTTATTATCTGTTTTAAAAAGCAAGTGATTGTATCTGTTGTTACAATTTTCCAGCTCTTTCTGAAGGTCCTCCCTACCTTGTGGTACAGACTGACACTTTTGCCCGCATTGGTGTTCAAGCGACAGCAGTTTGTTCTTCAGGAAATTAATCTCTGCTGTGAATTGCTCATTTGCAAATCCTGCATCACTGGGAAAGATGGGCCCAGGATTAATATACATTCCATCTGGGTCTGTGGTATTAGCAATCTCTAAAATAGTGCCACCTAGCCTATCTTCTAGGGACCGCAGTTTATGGTCAAACAAGTCTCTCAATTCATCTACCTCAGAGGCTATAGCACCGCGGAGGGTTTCCTCAACGTAAAAGCAATGTTCTTCAGCATTTCGTTCTGTAACATTCATCCTCGCATCTAGCTCCTCCAACCTCTCACCAAACATGTCTTCTAGATCTGGAGTTGACAATCGAATAATTTCATTATCTATTCTGACGTTCAAGATCCTGTGTGCTTCTGCAACTCTGTCAATCTTCTTATCTAAATCTTTTATTTGTTGGTCAAAGTCATTTCTCTCACCCTCACTGCAACAAATGGACTTATTTGATGGAATCTGAGTTAGGAGAGTATTTATTTCCTTCCTCAAGTCATTCTGTTTTCCTTTTATAACATCAATTATTCCTAAACAGGTATTTTCATTGTCATCACACTGCTGCTGGATATCCTGTAGTTTGTATTCACAGGAGCTCTTCAGATCTGCCATTTTCTTTTCAAATCCTTCCAGTATTTCCTGTCTAAGGGACTCAAATTTTGAGTCTATATACTCCTGATATATATTGTCACTGGGCATTGTTACTGTAGGCCCTTGTGCTGCCTCCTGCAGCTGTTTTAATTGTCCTTCATAACCTTTGACTTTTCCATTCAGTTCCTCCAGTTTGTCATTCCTCATCTTCAAGGCTTCTTTGACTTCAGCTAGCTCAGACTTTATATCTTCCATTTCAAAATCAATAAAAGGGTCTTTCTGATCTTTACTGCTGAGGAGTCCGGGCAGATGAATAGTGTCTGTTTCACCACCAACTGCACTATCAGGCTCTGGGCGGTCATAAAGATTGTTCAACCAAGTGACCAACATCTTACTAGCATCTTCTTGGACAGTCAGTTTTAGGTTTTCATTCACACCTGCCACAGAGGACTGAAGTTCAAGCACTGATCGTGTAAGTCTAAACAATTCATCCTCAAGAAATTGCATTTTCTTCTCATATGGTGGAGGTTCTGGCTCTTCTGTTGGTTCTGCATCTATTTTATGGAAATAATAGACAAAGTCTGGATGTAAATATTCCCAATGGTATATCTTTTAATCAGATAATTTCACTTTTTTAAAAAGACAAATATGATTTAAATTGCATAAAGCTTGTTCCATTTTCTAGTCTTGTTTTCAGTAGTTTATAATTTCAAAACACTTGAAACTGAATGTTTGAGCACATTGACCAATTCCTGCCAAGATACAATGGCAATAAATAAATAAATAAGCAAGCAGAACCCTCCTTGTTCAGCAATGAATCTAACCTATAGCATATATAACAGACCATTATAGATCCGTACATATCACATCACAATCACCTTTGAGCCACTCCATCTCCTATAACAATAATTTGGGAGATGCTGCTTCTGAATTCCCATTGAAAACTTAAGTGGCAATAATTTATGTGCCTAAAGTGTGTTTGTGCTCCAGTATTTTGCTGAACTGGGGTCCAAATGCATATACCGTATGGCGTTCTGCAAGATATTCCAGTTATCACACTTGCTTCAAAAATACCTAATTATTTGACACATTTAAGTAGGCAATAAAAATGTTTATAAAAGCATAAACTTTATACATCCAAAATTGTTAGATTAAAATAACACCAGCACTATCGTCATTGAATGAAGAATAAAGTAAAAGCAGATTTATAGCTGAAATCTACTTTTTACCTAGCACAAATCTATTAATGAATCTGAAACCATTCTTCCAATCCATTTGTCACTGGCAGCACCTCATTTGCAGAGCCACATATAATTATGGATGCTCAATTTCAAGCAAAATGTGCAATTGTAGAAAACCCAGAAGAAAGAAAGAAACAGTCAAGAAAGTATAAACTGCAGGAAAAGTCAAAGTAATATTTAGGCTAGAAGAGAGGAGGATAGAGTGATATTCTGAATGACATCTGCACACTGGTAGGGAATAAATTGTCTTCTGTATCTGCTACTTACAGCACAAGAACAGGCTTCAACTGAAGCAAGTAAGGTGAGGCCTGATAGCTATACAGAAAGTGAAATGCAGGAAGACACTGTCCGCTTGAGCAGCAGAATTTCCACCACTGGAGGCTGGACTGACATAGCTGACCCTATCTTAGGCAATGGATAAACAGACCTCTTAAAATCCCACTAATCCTATTTTCTGGGATTCTCAGCAACAAGGCACTAGTAAGCCAAGATACTGAGTGTGATCCCAAATAATCATCCAGTATTTATCAGACCTGCAGCTAGAGCACCAATTTTTTAAGTTTAACAAACATTTAATACCACTTTAACGTATAGAGCTACATGCCATATTGATTCGCATACTCCCATGTATCTTTGCCATTATGCACAGAGGAGTATACTCTATGAAGACTTCATGTATAATCCTGATTGGGATTTTGCATGACACCTTTTATGCAACGCATAATCCTAAAAGCTTTGCACAGTGCAGAATAAAGTAAATGAAGAAGCGAAGAAGAAAACATACTACTTTAAACATGACAGAAAACAGACACACAAATTGTTAGCATTAGAATAACTCTTTCAGATGACAAGTGGTGTTAACAGTTAAATCTTCAGACAAAAATATTTTAGCACTGGTTCCAAGCTACGCATGCTAGACAGACAGTGGAGAGCAACATGAGATAGGGTCTGAAGGACATGCAGTTAGAATTTTTCTTAGTTTTAGACTGGATTTCAGCTTAAAGACATTACAAAAAAGGTGGGAAGTCACAAATCTACTCTTCAAGACTGGCAGGGTGGCAAATTCCTTTAATAACAAAAAAGTATGCACACACAGAGTGTAGCTATTAAATATACACTGGTCTATTTTTGCAGTGCGTTACAGTTCTTTCAGGGTCAGAGCAGAAAAAAGACCACCAGACATAAGCAGTGTGCAACTTACTTAAAGATATCAATGTGTTTTATTATCATCTTCTGGATGTAATATTTCAGGTGGGCTAATAAAGTATTTTGACACATTATTTTTAAAGCAGATATATAATCTACAGGACTGGTTTGAAACCAGTATTCTGAACCAATCCATTCCACTACACAAAAAATGCAAGTGGAAATCTGACTAACTGCTATACGTGACGCTCATGTCCAGTGATGTTGGGGAAAAGCCCTTCAGAAGAAAATACCTGTTTATTGTGTTTTGTTAATGCAGAAAATGCATAATACTGAAGTAACAGCATTCCTTCTTACCCTTTCAGAAGAGAGTATCTTATACAAACATCATTCATTCTTTAAGGTATTTTTTTCAGAAATCATTCCCTTACTCCTTAGTATTAAGAGAGATAATCTAACATGAATCTGTCAAATCTGCACAAGCCCTTGAACAAACAAACCACTGTGAAACTGCTAGGGAGCACGATATATCATTAAAATTAGTACCTCTTCTTTTTTGTTTTAATAATAGTTCTTCTCAAATACCATCTTTTTGCTGAACATTGAAGAAACCACAAAAAAACCCAACCTTAACACAAAGACTTTCCTGAACCATGAGTAGCCAGCTGGCATTTATGACCAGTGTTCTAGAGCCACCTCTCCATTATTCTTCAGGAAACTCTCTGTATCAAGACTGTGACTGCCTGGCTATTATTTTCCCATCGTGCAGTGTTTTCCATATGGCTGTTGTACCTGCCGGTAGTTGAGTTTAATAGAAACCATAACGGTTCTTAGAAGACAAAAGAACAAACTAGACGTGATCATGCATACCAAAATTCAAAGAAAAAGTTACCCAAGCCTTTCTTCACAACAGCTTTCGCTGGTGTTGTGGGACGACGAGCAGTGTTTGGCTTTTCTGCTGGGCCTTCTTTGCAGTCTTCCCCTTTGTACCCAGGACAACATCTCCACTCCAGCTCTGTTACTGTCTTATATGCAACTGTGTACCGAGGTCTGAAACTTGTTCGGTATCTGCCAAACCAGAAAGCATTTTAAATTATCCTTAACCTAATCTGCTGTTTACATTAAAGCTAAAATTAAAACAGCTTTTTTAAAAATGAAAATAAATTACTTTCATCTATGATAAATTTTGTCCTTCAAACATCAAATGAACAAATGTTTCTGTCTAGGTTTTAAAGTTACCTGCACTCAGCACAGTCATGTCAGGGAGAGCAGTTATGGCCATAGAACAGGGGCTTTAATGTATGGGTAGAGGGATAGCATATTGTGGAAAGCGAAGGTTCAACTCATCAGACATTGCTGAGAATAACAGTAACCACCAATATATCACTCTACAAATTAAAAACCTTTTCCCTCTAACTGATTTTCATTGCAAACCCACCCACAGGGCTGCTCTAGAGGCCACTCTTCTGGATATCAAAAAATGTTTCTGCCTGCTTTGTCCCACTTGTCTTTCCACAATCTCCACTTAAAACCATTCCTCAGAAGGTCAAAGCTAAGATGGATATTCCAGGGAAAGACAAAACACTAAAAGCATGAGTCAGATAAGGACATGAAAGAGGGAGTCAGATGAAAGGCTACAACCAATGAAGGAATCAAGTCTTTCCTACTTCACTGGTTAAGTTGAAGGTGGTCTTGCAGACAAAACTATGCATATGTTATGTACATACAACCTTAAGTTCCCCTGATTAATCACTCAAAAGTTAATAAATGGCAAACTGATTCTGGCTGTGTAATTTTCTTTAACCACAGACTTCTTCTGTAACTTTCCTTCAGTACATGTCTTGCATGTTCAACTGCAGTCCGTCACTATGGTATCCCACCAGATCATAAGCAGAGGCTGTGCTGTTTTATAAAAACTAAATCAGTTTAAGGCACACTCATTTCAGGTTGAGAGGTGAGGAAAATAAGTAAAACAGGGATTTGCCATCTGTGCTCTATAAATTGGTATACCTGGAACACACAGAAACAAAAAAGTTACCCCAATTTCTCACGTGAGTTCCTTTCTCAGAATAAAACTAGTATCATACTACTAACCTCCTTATGGCATTTTCAGATTTTTTTCTCTTATTTCAGATTAGAACAACACTTTTGCATCCAATAATGAGTGACTTACTATTGAAAGTCATAGAGTAAGAGTTTAACTGTTCCTTTTCAAAAGTTCTCTTGACATGTGTGCAGATAATTGCTGAAATAATTCTGTATTTTTTTATTTAGCATCTTTCACCTTCAGAGACATAGTTTCAATATAACATCCCACATCTGATAGCCATTTGCTGTCCCTTGTTGGTAAGCTGCTTAGCAAACTTGGGGTGGAGGTGTTAAAATGTTAACTATTAATTATGAATCCATTTCTTTTCCAACAATATCTTTCCCAATTCTGCCACCACAATATGTTTTCATTTTTGCACTCAGGAAATACTCTGTTCTTTAGCATTATTACTTTATCTATGACTTCTCATTTAAGGGGAAAAAGTTTACTTTGACTAGAGACATCATTTTTTTCCCAACTATTTTTGGGCCAAAGAGTAGTTTATTCCAATAAGCCTCTCTAGATTCACTTCTGTGAATCTTCATAGGAAGGCAGGGGCAGGCTAGGCTGCAACTCTATTAGCTGCTCATAACTGCAGTGGTTTGCTGTGGTTCTCAGCTTCTCAGATTCTGACTTGAAGCACGTAAACTCAGAGAGAGCTTCCAATCCTTTTTTTACCTTTGCAACACCATATATGAAACAGCTGTAGGCTGCACTCCAGCTCATCATTTATTTTACAATTTTCACTGAAACATCTGCTAAATCCTGTTTACAAATGTAAAGTACAGACATCCCCAAGGTCAAGTGCTTTAAAAATTAAATAGAGGAGTGCAACGTAGAGGGCACCATTGGGAAGGAAAACATCCCGGCCACCCAGGAACTTCCTTTTCCTTCTCCCTTATCTAAAGCATTAAACCACATCTTGTGTAGGTAATTTGGGTTTGATTCCTTTCTTTCCAACTAGCTGCCAGAGTCAGAGGACTGACAGGATTAGCTAGATGCTTTAGTGTTTTGAAGTGGTTTTCAGAGTCATTACAACCTCTCTCACAACCACCACATTACTGAAATGCAAACTTTGAACTTCCAGATCAATTTTTACATGCCGGAAATGGTCGGACATACTTTCCTTTGATTTCCATAAAACACTTAACTGCTCCAAACTTTGTGTGTGTTCCTCTCCATACTTTCAGGGCCAAACTCCTTCCTGAAAATTACAGTATTTCGATTATATTCAAACACCATTACACTTCTCTATTTTTTCCTAACAAAGTTTTAAGAATACAGCTGAAACAAATTTTATAAAAGGAATAAAAACTACTTTTATGCAAATTGTGCACTTCTTTGCTCAAATTGAAGAATGAAGATTTTCCTTTACCGTTTCTGCCATTCCTATCATACTTTTGACAATTTTGTTTTGTATACCTTCTCTGTAGTCATAATCATCAATGTAGACACCCTCAGATGACTTCAACATTCAAACAAATCATAAGACACAACCAAATATAAAAGAATACAAACAAATTAAAAGAAATCAAGCTTAGTATTTTTCATATGGGCAAATTATAAAACTTTTCCAAACTCCACCTTAAAAATAAAAACTAAGCAAATTCAACATTCTTGCTTATATTTAATTTATTTCATAGTTTCATGATCCTAATAGACGTAAAATGTTTTAATATGATTTAAGACAAAAATTACTTGAAATGCAGAAGAATCCTCCCATTCTAAATTATAAAATATGAACACTGTGTATCTATAACTTTTAAAATGTCGTAGCAGTCTATTCCTTACAAATTCTTGCAAGTCTGAGACCTCAAGCAAATACACGAATTGGACCTGTTTCGATTTCAGCTAGGCACATCAAATACAGACTAACCTGAATCCTAAACCACAATTTTCCTAGAGCAAAAATAAGCTAGAATCAAAATGTTTCAAAATCTGGATGCAGAATAGCTTTCATATTTTACATCTTGAACTATGGTAACAAGACAGCTATACTCATGGATGGCTCAGAAATTAAATTGGGATTTACATACCAAGAAGTATTGCTCCTCTATACTGCCAGTCCAGCTGAATGCATCACACATCTAGTCCCGTTTACTTCAGCAAGGCTAGTCACGTAAGGCTGGGAAACAGGAACTTACCCTAACACTTTTCTAATTTGAATTCAGTCACATTACAGTTTCTTAAAAATCACAGCTTCATTGCTACAGCTTCTCTAGCAATGATATGCTTCCAGCTGCTGTGGAAGTTGCCCATGCAGGGAATGGCATCACTGTGCCTGCACTGTCCAGATGCACTAATAAATGAGAGTCACCAGCATGCATCCAGCCCAAGGGTGATTCTCAGTCATACAAGTTTTTTAAAGACAGAACTTTGCTCACTCAGTGGATTTCACTGGAGGAGCTAGAGACTTCCAGGATTTTGACAGGATGTAACAGTCTAACAGCACTGAACACAATTACATTCTTGGTTACAGTTCTAACAAAACTAACCGTAACTTTCTGCTACCGACCGCATCCTGAGAATAATCTGTGATTCTACATATTATAATGATATAGGACTGGGAGCCACTAGAATATAGAAATCAGACATGTCTTGATTTACATTTGCAGTATTCTGAATCCATTTGCTCACTCACAGTCACAGCCAATATATAACATACAAACACAAACATACAGAACATACAAAAGGCACTCAGTGTAGCCAGAGAGACTGAATGTTGCCTGTCTATACAGCCAGGTAAAATTACACAGTTAGAACATAACATGCCCAAGTTTCATATCTTTTATTTTGTAGGTACGAATCTTTACACAGTTACCTACTGAGGCAATTTGGTCAAAAGGGTTCTCAAAAGTTTTGTTAATCTCTTAAAGAACTGAGGGTCCACTTTAATGCCTGTATATACTGGAATGTAATTAAAAAATAGTAAAACAATAAATCTTCTTCCAGGTGACTTGGATTTCTGCTATTCACGTAAGTGTTAATAAGCACAATTATTTTTACAAGTGTCTCAAAGTTATTTAAAAAAAAAAAAAATCTTATGTGGTTAAAAGTTACATACAATACACCAGCATTTATTGTGCCTAGTCACCCCATCCTCTTGTGGACTTCCAGCCCAAAACAATGGTCATATCCTTGTGGTAAATTGAGCTAAATATTACAAATTACATAATTCTTTTAGCAAGCATGAATAAAGGATGATTTCAACAGTCTCTAATCTTTCCTCACAACAGAGAAAATTAGAACAGCTGGTTTTTAAGAGTCTTTCCACAACAGGCTTATAACTACCAACATGTACTACCTTCACCATGAATTCCACATGTTGATCAAATGAGAAAACTTGTTCAGAACGCTAATGCAAATCTCCACTTTTAATATCCAAGTATTTCACAGCTGGAATAAAGTCATACTGCGTGGCAACAGCATTCAAATATTCCTCCTCTTTGAGAGGGAAGTATTTTCTTAGGAAAATGCTTAATTAAAAATACATGTTTGCTGCAAATGCTAGACATTTTGACTAGGGAATGAGCTATAATTTTCTCATGGTGCTAAACCACAGAAGGAAGCAGTTAGCACTGATATTTGGAATGTCACCTAATAGCGATAAAACAAATCAGAAACATTTGGACGAAATTGGTGGGAAAACATATGGCTGTGTTCTGTAACTAGATATTAACATTCAACCTTTTGGGAAATGCATGGAGATAAGTGCCACCACATCCTCACTGTGAGGAAAGGACTGCAGAATCAGCATATGTTTCTACATAAGCAACATATAAAATGTTTATTCTGAGCACAAAACTTTAAGGTTGGTCCAAAATTCTGTAGTGATTGGAACAGGTCCCATAACTTCAGCAGCCTGCAAATCACAGTCTTATCAAATAGACGATAATGAATCTTCATTATTTAATGCTTTTATTAAGCGTAGATCCATTCTTTGTAAATTATAGTCTGCTCTGGCATGTTCCAGTCATCT